GCGGGGAGTGATTGTCCGACTATTTGACACATCTCCTACAATAGTGTTAGAAGTAGGTGATGTACTTCTGTTAGCACTGTTTACGATAGGAGTTGAGTCTTGGAACCATTCAATCTCAACGGTGGGTTCACCTTGTGGAGGTGGGTAAGGTGAAGCAAACAAGATAAAAGGAATTGGTGTTGGTGTTGTTTCTAAATCTGATAAACTAGATTCTTGAATGGACGTAGATATCACCTTAGTAGATGTAGTCTTAGAAAATGAGTGAGGTGTATCGTCAGTAGGTAGAGCAATTTTAGTACTGACAGAGCAAGTTCTTGATTGATGTTTTCTATTCTGAGGAAGAAGAATATCTAGATCGTCAACAAGTTCAAGATCGTATCGGGCTGCACGTCCAAAAACAGACTCGTTAAACCTTACGTTTGTACTAATATAGATTTTTTTGTTAACAGCATTATACACACGATAGGCTTTTGACTCAATGTCATAGCCTATAAAAGTAACTAGTAGGGGTATAGCAGAAAGTTTGTCGAACCTGGATGTAAGTAAGACAAAAGCTGCACATCCAAAGACTCTAAAGTGCTTGACGTTCGGATCAAGATCTGTCAACCGCTGAAAGGGTGTTGACATCTACACTGCCTTTGTTGACAGTCGGTTTAAAATATAAACAGCTATTCTTGCGGCCTCCTCCCAAAGAGCCTTAAGTAATTGAACATAAAGTAGTAAACTTCGTGCCATCTCAAGTACAGTCCTATTCTTTCGCTTAGATACGCCATTTTTATGTGGAGTGTATGCACAAGTTAAGGCATGATGAATACCTGAGTTGACGCAGAAGTCATGATAAGTTTTGGATAGATATTCTCTTCCTCTGTCTGTTTGGAGTGCTGCGATCTTCTGATTGTAACTATTTTCCACCATTACTTTGAAATCCTGAAATTGCTTTAGTGCCTCGTCTTTGGTACTCAAGAAATAAATCCAGGTATAACTAGTAAAATTATTAGTAAACATCAGTATATATTGTTTCTTTGTTAAGGATTCAGAAGGGAGAGTCCCGCATAAATCAGAATGCAACAGCTGTAATGCACGGGTTGTTTGAGTATGAGAGTGTTTGGGAATACGATCTCGACTTTGCTTTGATTTTAGAAAAGTAGCATATAGACATTTTATGTGACGAATCTGAGTAATTCCTACAATCAGTTTCTTAGAGGCCATCAAATGGAGTTTCTGATAGTTTGCATGACCCATACTACGATGCCAAAGTTCTGAATGAGAAACAAAACAGGTTTGAAGATCAGTTTTAGGCTCTTCTATATTTCAAACTTCAGTGGAACGAAGAAGTCTTGTTGGGGAAGACGGTGATATGATGGCTCGTGAGAGACCTTCACGCTTAGTCAACTTGTATAAACTGTTATGTGGATCTTGTTCTCCCCACAATAGTATGCTACGTGAATTTACTCTATCAAATACATAACAATTTCTGAAATTAAAAAGTGCTATATGGCCTAGATCAGTAAGATGTCCAACAGACAGCAAATTTTTCTTCACACCGGCACGTAAAACAGACAGACACTTTCTTTTGATTCAATGTAAGTGCGCCCTTTCCACAAACCGAAAGAACTTGATTGCCTGCAATTCTAACTGAGATATGGTCAACCTGATTTAGAATGAAGTGAACTATTTCCAGTTAAGTGTGAGGAGTCTCCAATATCAATAAACCATGACTATTTTTCTTCTACTTGACTAAAAAATGCAGAAAGTACATTTGTTGCATCGCTGACTACTATATTGTCACGGTAGGAGCAACATTGTTATCAAAGAACACATCATCAGCTTCTTCAAAAGCAACCTTGCGATGGTCATGATGACCATCGAGATAACATTCCATGTTGTTTGACTCTGATTGCTTTGAATTCATGAGAGTGTTGTAAGAGATGTGAAGTGCTTCAAACTCTTTCTGAAGTTGCTGATGACGACATTTATACGACCAGTGTCTCCTTTCTCCGCACTCATTGCAAGTGTCGGATTTCTAGCTCGGAGTAGCAGACGATGAAGAATTGTTTCTATTACTGTTATAAGATCTTTCATGAGAACGCCAATGGAGAGTACGAGAGTTAGTGAGGAGAAAAAAATTCTAAGAATGGTTAGAAGGGTCATGGCAGTTGTGAAACTCATTCTGATTTCGGTTGCTCAAGTTTCTTCTATCATATCCGTTGTAGTCACGATTACTGTTGTATCGTTAGAATGAAGTAGATCTCCTCTTATCTGTATGATATTGCTGCTTGTCTTGTCTGGTATGTTGGATAGTGGGAATGAGACACTCGGCTGATACACCGGTTTTGTTAGATCTAACCTCACGAGTCATTTCTTCATGAGTAAGAAGAGTAAAAAACTGTGAAAGCGTGTAAGGATTGTGAATAATGCTAGTTTTAATGGAAAAAGCAAATTCCGACCAACTTGTAGGCAAACTCATCAGAATCAGAGGCATGAGTTCTGAATCTTTCACTGTATCGTTGCAGTTTGACAGCTGGTTAGTGAGATTTCTCACGGCACGCATGTGAGTTTTGATAGACTAACCCTCCCTCATTGAAAGATTAGACAGTTTTTGTCGCAAGAGCTGGCGTCGATCTTCACTAGTAGACGCAAATAGTGTCTCTAGCTCTTTCCACATCAGATGAGGATCAAACATGGCAGAAATATGATGAACAATGTGCTCACTCACGTTCATCATAATGTAGTAAACAACGTCATCGCATTGTTCAATAATGATGTCAATTTTCTCCTGAATCTCTTCGTTTGCAACCTCTTGTTCTTGCTTGGCCGTAATTGCATTTTTATGTGCATGATCAGTGAGTCCTTCGGAACCTCAAGTGCAGGTAGTAACTTTAATAAAGCATTGCTTCGTTCGACTGCAGCATAACATTTCTTGCTAAGATTGCTCGCATTTGCGCAGCCCAAGCAGTGTAGTTGTCTATGCTGTCCAGTTCTGTGTGGGATCGATGTACTTCGCTTCTCTTAAAAAATCCATGATTCCAAACGTAAGAGAAAGAAAAAAAACTTCAAATACTGAGGTCATCAAGTTAAGGCATTCGCAATCTTAACTGGAAGATCAAAGAGAACACTTACGCTCTGATAACATGTTGGAATCACTGATTTATGATCAGTCACATTGTTTTGATCAGTAAGAAGTCTTGTACATATAGTGTAGTAGTCTACAACGGTAATCTAAAACGGTCGTGTAATGGATAACTGATCATCTGAGTCTACTACTTTGGACATTGATACAAGTGTCAAGTCTTGTGTAATATTAGCACACTAAGAGTAACTTTTGAATCTAACTTATTCTAACAAGATTGCATGCTGGACCTTCTGGTAGACGTGTATTGGAGTCTCGGGGTATACATGATGACATGGGAACTTTGCCTCTCTACGTGTTTTCGAACACATTTGAAATTCCTCCTCACAGCACAAATTACAATGTTGGAGTTGTGTTTCTGATTTTCTGGATCCTCGCGGTCATAGGTTTGATTAAGTATGTGATGATGTTCCTTAGTGCCGACGACAATCGAGAAGGTCGGGTTATTATGCAATAAGATCGATCAGAAAGAATGAAAACTCGCGAAAATATTTTCCGTGCGGTGAAAAATATTTTTGCCGCACGGACTTATAACCCAAGTGAACCAATGAATGATTTGCGTATAGTAGGGTGATGGCTAATTAGCCCTAGGTGAAGTATAACTAGTTGCCACCTTTTTTAATTTACATATTTAACTTGTATATGTAAACACAAAATGAACTATATATAATGAAAACTTGTACATGTGGTGATACTTTTGAGTATGTTGATGATTACATGTGACTCCTCAAAGTAGTCAATTTTGTACCGGGTAACAATATTGTGGAAAAATGAAAGCTTCACGCAGTTTACTCCTCCTTACCATATGTGTACCATATATAACAAATATATTTATGATATAAGTACAAGATCTCACAATAATAAATATTTTTTTTCAATAAAAAAATCTCAAATTTATACTTGGTCTTTATCATGATAGTTTTAAATTTTTTTAGGGTATATTGCATTCTATTTAACATTTGGATAGATACAATAGACGTCACATGAAGTAAAATTGAATCATAGGTATATCTTAGATAAATTTTGAATATGCTCTTTTTGAAACAAGCTTATCATTTTGAATATAACTTTAATTTTTAAAAATAACCATAGATCATTTCAATCAACTATGTTAAAAAATTTGGGAAAAATTGTGTCATTTCATTGAATTAAATTTTATAAAATATTATATATTTATTATATATCATGTTCAATTTGGTGAGACAGTGTGTATTTTATCTTCAACATTCAAATTACATAATTATTTAAAATAAACTACGAATTTTATTTCTTCATCTGTTTAAAAATTTGATGATATGTATTGAATATGAACATGCATTTAAGATATTTTTTCATTACGGATATATAGAGGCCTATAACCTCCGTTCCATTTGGATTCATATTGCAAGAACTTCAATCGGATCTAAAGACTTGGATTTATGCCTTGGATCCCCTTTCTATTGTATCAAATGAGCAAAGGATAGTTTTATCCTTACATAGTGAATTGATAATGTCTTACGGCGACTTGATTTTGTGAGATTGATAATTAGTTTGTAGCAGTAAGCAAGATTCTCCGATGCGAAAAAATAGAGATTTCCAGTGTGCTAATCTACTAAATGTTGGTAGATAAATGCATGATTTATTGTCAAATTCTCTTTAGAAATCTGGTAGTTGCGTGAGGCTCATGGACCAGCCAACCCTCCCTCTCTGTTGGAGGAGACATGTGGATGGATTTTCTTCAGGTGGTTTGTAAAGTGTCGAAGCGGAGCATTTGGTGATAAATTTTTGGAAGGAGGGAGGGGGAAGGACTTCCGTGGGTCATTCGTTCACACACACACACACGCCACACACACGACACGACGGCAACGGAAGAGGAGATGAGAGGGGATAGGGCGGGGCCACTGAGAACCGCTGGTTGCAGATCACATATCATCGCTGCCTTATGCTGCCCACGCACTGCTCCTGCGCAGACACACACCCGTCCCTCGTCCCCCCATACCAGTCGCCCACTCCCGACTTCCCGCAGCGCGACGACGTCTTTCTTCTTCGCCCTCGCTTCTAATTCGATCGATCGATCGACCTCCTCGAGCCCTCCTTCTCGACTTTCTCAGGTACTTTGGAGCCGCATTTCCCTTCGAAGAAAGTCGTCAATTCTCATGCCCGCATTGTTTGCTTTTCTATTTTCCTATCGAGTGTAGTCTGCCCGAGTCACGGTCGCGAATTGTGTTGTTAGTTCCAGCATTGCTCGAGGTGTCGGAAATGGCTGCTTGCAGATATCGATCATGAGAGAATACGATGGCAATCGGTCTTGTTCGCGGGTTGTATGAGCTGGATTGGATTTAATGTCGGAAAAAGTGACAGAAATTGTTGGGGTTTGTTGCGCAACAGACAGAGAGTGAGAAATGGCAGCCGTCGCCGCCAGAGCGTCATGCTCGTTGGTCACCAGCGCGGGAGCGACAGCGGCCCCGCAGGCAGCGAAGAGGACATCGGCCAAGGCCGGAGCGAGGAGGCTGAGTCTCTTCGGAGGGTTGAAGGCCGAGAACAAGGTCATGGCCTTGGGACTGAGCGCCAGCACTGAGCAGAAGTTCGCCAGCTTGGCCACCAGCTGCTCCGCTCGATCGAGGACCACCTGCACCGTGGGAAGCGAGATTTTGACCATCGTGCCCGTCATGAGCGGTCTGGTGTTGGCCGGCATTGCCATCGGATTCGTGTTGCTGCGAGTGGAAGCGGCAGTGGAGGAGTCAGAATAGGATTTTTGCCGCCATTTTGCCAATTGGATTCCATGTACCAAAGTTTGTACCTTACTCCGGAAGATGAGCCTGTCAGCGCAAGCAGCTTGCAGTTGTAAAAAAGGTACACAGGAGCCGTCCTTCGCTGTAATGGAAACCTTCATCTCTCTGATCTCTGTCACATTATATTTGTAATTGTAGATGATACTCGGAACAGGATGGTTCGCGAAATTTCGCGCAGTGTTGACCCTTTTGGCTTATTTTTTGCCATGAATTCGACGAACAAATCTTGCTGAGCTAAGACAGCAAGAAGTGTTTCATCATTATCTCAGCACAGGGGAAACATGATTCTTTGGAATTGGGACGGGATGGTGTCATGTTTCTTTCCAGGCAGTGAGTAGGCGCTAATTTCACTGTCCGTCTGTCCATCTGCATATAGATCCGTCTGATTGTATTCACTGATAGAATTGTGCTCTTTTTAATCAATTGTATATTTATCATGGTTATTGTTTGAAGAATCTTTGAATGAAAGTGCCGATATGTTTTCAACTTCTTTATATCAATGTAATTATATACCCAAGAATCATAAGGCTGAAAATTTTGGGAAAGTCATAATGCTGAGACTGTGGTGAAGTGAAGAAAGATACTGCATTTGAGTGACGATGAGAGTGTTTACGAAATAACTGATTTAACAAAATAAAACATACGTACATGGCGGAAGGTCAACAATCTTCTCCGCCATCGTAAATGAACACTCGCAAAATGTATCGAAGATATTATTTGTAGAAGAAAAGGATAAAATATTTAAAATAAAAGAAAACTAAAAAAATGTCAAGAAAAATCTCATAACAACTTACATAATTATATATTTACCAATACTATAACTAACATATCTTCATACTAAGTTATGTAACAAAACCCGAAAAATTTTCATTTTTTCATCTATCATTTCTTCCTTCGCTTATCCTGTAATAATTACCATCCATTATCTGTACGCGTCATATCAACTATCTGAAATTATACATGATCTTACTGTACTTGTGACAAATCACTCACATGCGTACATCTCCTGATCAAATTGCAAATTTGTAGCATATAATCGTCAAAATTTATAACGATAGGAACAAATTAACCTTTATACCATTCCACCCCCAAAATCTATTCTCGATAGTGGGGTTACTCAATACACTGCAATAAGTACACAGAGCTGTACATATTTCTGGACGATGAGACAATGGGCATGGTACGCGAGCCTCCTGGACACACATTAATGAGGGCGATGGTGGACGTACAGTGTGTGCAGAATGTATACTGAGAGCGCTAATAGAACAGCCTAATAACTTCGAGGACATTACTGAAATCCGCGAGAAGCAATCTGACTACAAAAATTGCGAAACGACGGATAACAAGATGACTTTTCAAAATGTCGAAAACCCTTCGGACGACATGCTTGCTGATCGATGATCCTCAACTCGGTGCATCGCCAAACGGCTTATAGGGCTGAGGGTCGGGAAATGAGCTGCAAGCATGCTATACAGAGTTCGTCGTGCTCACGGAATGATTCGCACCCAGGCCAACAAGTGCTCGCAGTGGTCGTCCAGAGCGATTCTCACCGCGAACTTCCGAGAGTCGAAGCTTACGGACTCGTTTACTAATATATGTTGATATGGAATCTCCTCCCACGCCAGTTTCTCAGAGACAGCCATCGAGCGGACAATCTGCTAACCGATTGCTCGTGGATTTGTTCAACCGACGAGAACGTAAATGGCATATATGATGCCGGGGACGTACCCCAAGATGGTCAGCAGCAGACATATCCAAAACTCCACCTGCATCCACCTCATGGTCAGCACCGGGTGTACCACCGCTTAGGGCACCACGCTTTGACTCAAAAGACATTCTCGTTGGCATTCCGTCTAACTGAAAACTGAAAACAATTGACGAAGTGAAATCACTTACCGCACACCCGAACGCCAGAAACACTCCTAAAGGTGGCAAAATGATTGCCAGCAAAACGTCGATGAATGAAGCCCTCGCCATTGTTTCCGCCTCAATGGCACAGGGTCTAACGGGATCTGCACAACACCAACAACATTGCGACCGCCACAATCAGCTGCTAATCACCTCCTACACGAACATCCATCAGTCCTCTCAGTTCCGCATTATAATCTGCAACAAGATCTCACCGAAGATCTCACAAAAGGTGCTGCGCAGCAGCACCTTTTGGGCGGGCAGTTTTCTACTTCATTCCTGAGACTCAAAAACTTTCAATTTTTCGCTCCCGCAGCAATTTCAAGCACGACATTCGCTTCCGATTGACAATGTATTGGTGGGCAATTTTTACTCTACCTTCTTACGGGCGGGAAGAGCGTCGAAAGACGAGAAGCTAAGGGCGGGGGGAGTCGACGAGCGTAGGAAGACGGGGATTCGAGCTAACGTCGAGGTCGGAGATAGGTCCGATACGAGCAAGGCTGGAGGTCCGTGGCCTCTTATTACTCTGACAGTGTCGAGTGGTGGACGTGGCAGCTCCTTACAAGCTGGCTGTAAAGCATCGCCACGTGTTATGACGTTCGCAGTACGGTAGAGCGAGCTGCAGATGGAGTCCTTTCAAACATGTAGAAGTCTCTCCTCTAAAACTGTATTGCATACCCCAGGCCTGATTAGAGAGGGCATTGTCTAATCCGTGGGGCCTCTTAGCTGCAGATGATCAAACAAATCACCACATCAACATCAATTCTCCTTAGTGACGCTAACTCCACCCGAGACTAAACATGTGGCTAGGCAGACAAGTCTGGGGCTGATTGACTGACTGCTTGTCACCTGGCCCCGAGTGTGAACGCTTATCGCACTCCTTGAGCTCAAGAAACGCCTTAATACCATCCGTGCTGGCACTTTGACAATCTTAGAAGCTATTTGTTCCTCCATGATGGAGAGATTTATTTTCCACTTGCAATTGCAGTGTATTGACCCTTCAAGGGCTGAGCGATTTAGAGCAAAGGTGATCTGGAGATTCTCAGTCAAGAGTATGAATCTGAATTACATTACTTACTCTGAAAGGGACGAGGTCGATCAGTGTGCTTGGTGACGCACTCAAAGCATACAATGAAGGTGACCCTGGTGGTATAGTAAGGTGACCCTTGAGTGAACGCAAGAAGAATTGCTGAACTCTCTAGAATTGGTGATCTCTGGAGGCTCCAGGTTTACTTCAAGAGTCTTGAGTGGGGGCTGCTGTTGGTTAGGAGCGAGTTAAGACAGAGGAATCATGATTGAGAGCGTAAGGACGTAATGTATCCACGGAAGACCTCATGAACGTGTTACTAAATAACTAGATATCGAAATCAAGCATCCCTTTTCAACCCGATAACGAGACGTCTGACTCGGAGTGAAGTGATTACAAACAATGTTGTTCAATGAATGATTATATGATATGAAATTCAGTGCCTCAATTGAATCCAAACGGCTAAAGATCAGTAGTACTGGCAAGTCTCGTCCACAGTCCAAGAACTTAAGTATCAGACTCAAAGTTTCTATCCTGTCTCCTACTTCGGTAGTCGATTCGCCATAGACGGCTCTCACGCTTTTCTGTCTGAATGAATCTACATGAATTGTTAAGTAGAATTCGTTCCTCAAGCAAATGAACGGACTTAAGTAACATCACGTGGAGGCAACTCATACACAGGCTTCCAAATCACTAGACAAAGCGATACATTTTCTTTTCTTTACTAGGCAGCACTTGGAATTCATGGCAAATAACAACCCTCCAAGTCAACATCCAGAGTCTTCTCCCGTGAAGAATAACACTGGCGAGTGGTCAAAATTAACTAGCTACACTGACAGCCGATTCCACCGTAAGGGTGAGAGTGGGAGGGGAACAACAACCCGTGATTCTCTTCCAACAAATCTGGCAAAGCGTGCCACTATTGGTGAAAATGCAAGAATGCATACCGTAAGAACCAAAAAAAAAAATTCTCTCTAGACAGGGCCTCCTCCTGTTAGATACCTTCCTGAACGGTATCAGCTAAGGATATCACTCGTATTTGCATCGTTATATTCACCTTGCCTACAGTTAAGAGGTGCATTGGCTGCATTTGCAGAAACGAATGTGAGTCAATTACTTTACAGGGCTTTCAGGCGAAGGTTCTAAAACTGAGAGAAGGTTGAATGCGGGAGAGCCTAGGTTGATCCCTCTTACAACCCCACCATGTGCCACTTTTATGCGATAGCACAGAAGCAGAATCGCATCCCACAGTGCAGATCGTCCCTGTAAAACGTTAATGCACGAGTCAATCGAAATCCTCCCAGAACACTGGCAAACAAAAGGGAAGAAAAATTCTGAATATCAAGAATCAGTCTGGAACAGATTCGTGACCATACCTGGAAGGAGAACTGTAATTTTTTGTCCCAGTACAGAGCAAAAATTGGAGGACTGGTCTTGGAAACTGCTAAAACTGTTGCTCCGGCTTGTAAGATAGATGGGGCGCCTGATATTATAGCAATATACTTTTCTGGATACCGCTCCTTGTGTGGCAAACTGGCAACAAAAAGGGAGTTGTTCCCAGACTGGGTGCTGGGGTATGAGGTCGGGTCCACATGCAGCATCCACTGAGGATGCTCCAGCAACGCACAAAACAGGTAAAGTAGCAAGTGGGCATCAGAGGGAAGATCAGCTGTCCATCGCTTGGAGACTTTATCATAAACCTCCCCGTTCGGAATGTACTCATACGCTTTCACACAAGTCCCCTCAGCCAAATCTGCCAGATAGGGTTTTGGAAGGCATCAACGAACATCAGCACGACGAAGCTAAGTTGAAACGATGTTCTATCTTCAGTCATAAAAGTGAAATCGGTGACTAGTTTCTACGTACTAAGTTTCATTGACATTGCAACAAGCAGTAGAGGCCCGTGCTGTCCCTACCTCGAATTCGTTGAGCGGTGTAGTCTGCTCGGACACTACTCTGAGGGAGGAGTCCTTTCACCCACTCTCCTTTTATGAGAGCCTTCAGTCTTTGATGCTCAGTCACGGCATCTAGGCATGCTTGAATATGAGGGTTATACACTTTCTCTTGAGGTGGAGCAAGACCGAATAAAGAGTTTTGCTGGACAGCTGCATCATTGTCCGAGAGAAAACTTGTCAGGTCCAATACAATCTGAGACATTTCGAGAGACAAAAGTCTTGAAGCAAAGACGATTGACATTGATAGTATTGTGATCCCACGTATGGTCAAAGGCAGGCTGCGGTCTGAGATCAAATTAGACAAGAAGATCTCAGCATTACTTAGGAGATTCAGCTCATAAACTTACAGTAGATGAATTGAAACCAGAAACTTACATACAGGTCCATCACGGGCTTGCAAAAGGTGGGCACGGAGTTGATGCAGCTGAGAATCCTCGTCAGGAACCATAGTAGTGAGCCATTCCTGAAGAGAACCATCCGCGGAGATTGGTACGGATGTTGTGTCTTGCTTCAAGCCTCCAACTTGAGAAACATTGATTGTCGAACCAAGTTGTGCAGCGGCAGCCATAGCCTGAGAAAACCCAGAAATCAGCGCAACCTTCAGTTCCACATAGGAATGACAGTTATATAAGACATGTTCATACTAAAACGATTTAGTTCCATATACTAGGATATAAAACACAGACTTGACGGTTCCAGTCATGTCCGTGATTTGACAACAAAGATGATTGTGGCCGTGACAGAGAAAAGGGAAAAACTGCACAAAACGACATCCTTCAACTCAGGACCATGGCAATAAAGTCAGCTATTACGTAAGAGATTCGCAGGGCTGAAATTGGAGTCGAATGCAAGTTAAGTAGAGTCCTCAAGGTTGGACGGAAATTTGTGAGAGCACCTGTAAATGGCTGGAATCGATCTTTCGAACAAGCGGATTCAGTAGCATATCAGAAAACCACTGTCGGAGGCTATCCCTCCACTGTTCGATTTGAGGATAGATCCCAAGCTTCTTAAACACTTCCAATGCTTGTTCCATGGACATAGGCAGTGGTATCTCCACCTCTCCTTTCTTAGGTGACCCCGTCTTCTGGGCGCTAGGAGACATACGTAGGGCTCGCATGGGTGTTCTGGGAGTGCTTGCAACTGGAGCTGGCACCAGAGCGAGACTTGGACTTGGACCATTGGCAACACCTTGCACTGTAGGCGAAGGAGTGGCCTGACCCCCAGACTTTCCACAGGCATCTGCAAGTTTGTCATCCACTTCTGCCAAAAACTCTGCTAGTTTTTTTTCACTATCAAGTTCATCCTTCCCGAAGTCCAATCGTCCAGAGCGAGTTCTGTGATTAGGCCAAAAACTCAAACTGCCGGGAGAATTTTGCAACTGACTAGCTGGGGTCGTTGGAAGTGGTGGTGCAGGAAAAGGTGTAGCTTGAAATGGAGACCCAGACGGAGCAGACGACGCAGATGTTTTCTGAACAGGACTCTTTACAGGCCCCGTGAATCCATTCAATCCAGACCACGGACTGGAAAGTGGCTTGCTCTTAAGCACGCTAGGATGGATAGGAACAAGAACAGGGGACTGAGATTGTCCAGGTGATTGCCGGGCTCTTGGAGGCCGTTGCCTCGTTGCACTCGAGAATTCTTGAGGAGAGTCTCTTGATTTCAGAGGTTTGAAGCCAGTGCTGCCAGGTGACGCGAACGAGGATATGGGTGATCCAATAACTGTGGTGGTGCCACTAGATCTTAGACTCACGCCAATATGTGATTCTTGGGGCGACTGCACACTCAATACTTTGCATAGTGCGGACAAAGTCATGAGAAAGAGGATAATCACAATCCACAGGGCCACTTGGACAGATGCAGCTGCACAGACGACGAATAACAGAATATTATCATCAACTCTTATTACCAGCTTTCTGGAAGGGAAGGAAAATTTTCGCAAAAAATTGCTGTTGAAGCGGATTAGGAAACTGCAAACACCTCCAAACGAACAGGGTACTCAAAGAAACGTAATGCACGACAAACACAGAAAGAGAAGACAAAGAATATCGTCTTACCAGCAAAACTCTGACTGATGCCCAGCGTCGCAAGATTGTCTGTCAAAGCCTGCGATCTGAAAAATAATAACGAAGATCGATCCGGGTTGATATAGCTGACAAGTAGTTTAGGTCATAATTTGACAATGTGACTTCTAGCTCGATACAAAGATTCGAACAGCTCCAGCATCAAGAAAGTCACTGAAAGACTCAGAAAATTGGGTCGATAATTTTTCCATGATTAGGTACAAAAAGAAAGTCCTCTCGCAGCTCCGAGCAGAATTGTGCTTAGCAGCGAATGAGTTATCGAGTAAATAAATATACTTGCAGTACAATGCCTCCGAAAGAATCCGGAGAAAAAAATTGACGCAAACAGATGCAAAAAATACCTTGAATAGATGCTCCATACGGCTGAACACGCAGCACAACAGAGCGTCAGAATGAATGGAAAATGCCACGGTCTTCGGCGGATCGCCTGATGGGAAAGTGCCGAGGCGACAGCGGCATTCTCGTAAACTCCAAATTTGCCAGCAGGAGGTGGTGATGCCGCCCGTAACGCCATCGGAGCACCTCAAATTGGCTGATTATTTCATCCGCAAGCTCGTGACATTTCATAACCCTCTCCTAAACCATCGGACATCCTCTGCAGCGTCTGCAACACCGTACCTCGCGCCATCCCGAATTCAAATGTCCCGTCGCCACATCGTACTCTCGTCCAAACTTCTGCGGTAGTTCCAGCACACAATCCGGCTTCCGTCTTCCGTCTTCGGTTTTGCGGCAGTCTGGATTTCCGTCTCAAGGGCAGACAGACGGATGGGCGGGGCGATCACTGGTATGCGTCATTGAGAGTCAAAGGTCCCATTAACGAGATCGTTGACATTCTCTCGTTCGCACTGTTCGACCTCTTCCATCACGAACCCTTTTCTTGTGGCTGAGTTGTCCCCGCCCAGTTCGCTACGTAGAGCTTGGGCCCGTGACTTTTCGTCTGGCTGTTCACGAATCTGCATGATTCTAATATTTTGTTGAACCCCCATAACATTTCCGAGAAGATTGGTGTCCGGCATATGTCGAAAGAGTTGTCTCGTAAGGAGTGTTTATGAGCAAACTGCTAGAAGTTTCTTTCGGTATCGTTTTCCTGGCTTATAAAAGGTGAGGGTTCTGTATTTCTCCAGTCTACTAGGGTAGTCTTAAGATAGATTCTTGCGCATGCTCGCTCACCTTTAACAATATTTTTTCCTCATTGAACTCGTTGCATGAGGTATTCCCAGTGTGGTGATTGAATAAATACTCTATGCGTATAGCCAGTATCCAGCTTAAAAACTGAAACATTTCACCGATCTATGCTCGTCATAGTCAGGACATGCACATAAGTTGTTGGAAATCATAAGATTTCCAACAACTTTCAGAAAAAGCAAAGGTTATAATCGTTGAAAGTCGCTTCTGTGTGGAAACGGTGATCAAATAGGCGAAATAATGATATGAGTAACATGATATTTCGTTAACATGACACTTGTTTCTCGATTTAAGCCTGGCTAACTATCCACTGAATCCTCTGGCTAATTTATAGTACATTAAAAACTGGAAGACAGTCTTGCATTGCTCGCTCCTCACATTGAAGTATGCGTTTGCCAATACTGATCCTTTGAACCATCCAACATACAGTTAGAAACCACGACAAGAGTTGTCGACCCTCTCCTGGCGTGCATTTCAGAAGAAAAGTTGTCTGTCGATTTCACAACTCCTCCGAATCACCTCCCAAGGTTCATGGGATGTTACTCACGAGTACGTATTACGCGGCACATTGCATATATCAAAAATACTTCAGCTGAGGAGTCCCAGTAGTGGACCCGAATGCAAAGCATCGCTCATGTTTGGCGTATGATCCTCGGGTTCCCAATCAAGCGCTCTGGTGGTTACATACAGTCGGGAGGCCCTACAATTACTCAGTAGTAACCTCAGGTAACTTGACTTCCTCGGGTAGTTTCTCATACGCATGAAACTGAGAACAATACTTCCGAAGAGTAGCCTCCGGATGCTGCATCTCGTTTAATTTTATGTCCCTCGCCATGGCCTGCATAAATTGGACAAACGAAACCTTAGAACATTTGTAAGCACATGAATTGGAGATGTTCATTGCAGAGGAATGACAAGGATGGACTGTTTAGAAACGTAATCTGAAAAGAGACTGTGCACAATAAAAAGAAACAACAGAAACCTGTTAGAAAGATGCGTATAGGATTAGGTTCTCTAGCCGGCAAACCTTACGATTATATACTACAAGAGTGTCAAGCGTCATACATGATCCCGACCAGAAAAGTTCCAGCCAGTTAGCAAATCATGTCTGTATATAAAGAAACGACGGACCCATGGTTGCCCTTACAGTACCCCAAAGAAAATGAAAACACTGATAGAACGGATCGAAACAAGCGAGTGACGACCATGAAAAAACGTGGGGCACAAATCAAGCAGTGTTTACAAATTGCTAGATAGCATGAACAGCCGACGACACTGAGAATGTAGGGAGAAGGAAAGTTTACGTCTTTGGCACATGAGAAACAACGAAGTTGTACAGAGATTGGTATTCCTTTTTCTTGTTATTACGACCATGCTTGTCAAAACCGTAGAAGCAAGAACATTTGCCGAATAAAAAATATCAGGACAGTACAATAGATCGGCAACAACTGGAACAATTATGACAATATTCGACGCTTTACACTCCCGGTACAGTATAACAAAATTTCACCGACAGCCAGACGGTCAAATCCAGGGAATGTGAAGAGAAACAGTTGTCTGGAAATACACAATTTATTCCCGTCTACGTACTTAGAGCAGAATAATTCGGAATTGGAGTTAAAGGTTAGCCGGACTAAACAAGGGACAAAAAGTGAATTAAGAGCGAATTAAGACCACAAATATGTAAAACAAACTTGTTAAAATTTACACCCTTTGGTAGTTTGCCACTGGCAGTGGTCGTTTAGTGCTAATGTGCGCTTCTAAGTGAGAGTCGACAAGCACGCGTAAAGTACCAGACGACTGATGGCATGGAAGTACAGGTGACGAGTTCTGAGAATTGGAAATCCACCAAGATACCTGAAAGTCAGTGCCATGCTTTCGAATAAGCCGAGAAAAGTATACTCTCTGCATCTTTGTAAGCCGCTTGACGGGTGCTTTCTTGCCGTCCTTACGAAGCTTGTTCAGTGCAGATTTAACGTCTGAAAAAAGGAAGAGCTGTTACAACCCCACAAAGGCCAGGTGAAAATACTGCGATAGCACTAGCTACAGTTCAAGCATCAACCAAGACGAACGCATGTTCCACGCCAGTATTTGGTACCGCAAGACACGCATTTATCTCGTGCCGAACAGATTAATGCGAATAACTTCTGAGCTTACCATCATCTTCATCATCACTGTTGAATTTTGAGTCCATGTCCATCTTCACAGTCTGCAGATCTGTACTTTGCACAGAATGAGCGGTTCTATCTCGTGCGCCGAGTACGTTGGGATTGGCCACGAAGCCATGAGCTGCGTACTGAGCGAGCATGCTCGGTTTGGATCCAGCGCCTCTTTTCCTGTATTACCATCCATTCACTCTCAATTATAAGTTTTCAAAGGGGAATCAACTTCGTCTTCTTCCGGTCACTTATAATCGTCCTCGTGAACGAAACTATGTGTCTACATTGTGATCCTCATACTGTGTTGTCGAATTTCTTATCATAACCTGCGTTCGCCCCTCAAGAGCTAACTCCTTATCACAGCGATGACGTCTACATTTTTGTGACGAATGTAGAAAAGCTGTGAGGACGAATTCTCGAAAGCGTGAAATTCTTTAGAAAAAAACTCTGCACGATTGAACTTACTTGGACGGCAACCCGACGCGCACAGTGGGTTTCCCCTTCTTGTAGGATCGCATAGATCGACCCATCTTGGCAGGTGCGAATAGACAACCGGCTAGACAAGCAAGAACAAAATTTCACGACCGAGCACGCTGACAGAAGAGCCTGATTCGAAAAGGACTAGAATCGTCGTGGTGACGGAATATAGCCAACTCAGTCTCCTGTCAAACCCTAAACCCCAGGAAACTCTTCATTCACACTCCGGTTGACGTGCAAACAGACCTTTCCAAACCCTTTCCAGACCGTTGGCTATGTTTCAGGGTACGATGTAAGATAGCAAAGTTCGCCTTTTCTCTCTGTTTTCTTTATTCACTGGACCGTAGCTATGTAACCCGAACGCCCGTGTACAAGAAGTCTCGAATAGGATCGCTTGGATCAACCGAAATGCCGCTCTATGTGTAACGAGGCCAAATTTCGCTCCAAGTACCTCATCCAAAAATTGAGACCCGAAGTGCACGATTTTGATTTGCAAGTCAATGTCAGAAAGTGGTCTATTGAAGGGATTTTGGAAGTTGAAACAACCCTAGGACCGCGGAGCCGTTTGAAATAAAAAATCTGGATGGCGAAGACCATATGAAAAGACTGCGAAAAAATGAAGACAATATTAACAATAGCGCTAGAACAAAGTTTACTAATGTTCAGCAGTTTTACACTGCATAAAATGTATGTTTTAAATTTTATTCTTTAGATAATTTTTGGACATATCTTTCTTCCCCAAGAGATCAATCAAGAACAAAGATATCTTCGATCGATCTAGAAAGAACATCTTCGTTTATGATGTAAGATCGCTGGCATATGGATTAAGGTTACAATAACGCAATAATTAACAACCTTATACTAAAAGTATGCTCCTATTATATTTATGAATCAGAAAGACCAACGCAGTCTGAGATTCCAGAAGTATGAACTCTCTTTCGGTTTGCAAGTCAGAAGTCGCTGTGAAACAGATTGCATAAATTGTTCAGAAAAGTTTTCATATATTGAAAATTTTAATTCTTACTTTTATATCTAATACCGCATAATGAGTATTTTTACACTTCTCTTTCTAGTATAACTTATTTCAGCATATGAAAAGTAATTATTTTGTTAAATATCTACATTCAGATTAAATTGAAAATATATACCAAACACAAAAACTGAGATAAATCGCTATTATCCTACAATATTCGAAAAAAATTGTAATATTTGAATTTATAAATGTTACCTGGAACAATATTTAGTCATACATAATAAACATATCATATTTAAATCTGAATTTTTTGGATGTACTCCAGAAACTATGAAATACAATTATTGATGAATAGAATCATGATTAGTTAGATTGATATGATCATCAAAGAAGAAGAAAATTACAGAAAAATAAGAATTTTTGTTTATAGTTATAAATATTAAAGCTTCAATTGTGAACTTGCGTCTTGTTAGATGTAAATCTAATTGTTCAAAAAATGCATGAGAAATAAATTTTAAAAAACAGAAATCATTAATGATTTATCATACACTATATTTTTCTTCGAAATGGTTGTTTATGAAAATAAAATGTTACGAGATAATGATTAATAATGGATTTCGTATTTAAGAAAAGAAGTGGATCAACTTGATAGTAACTAATATATATTATATTATCATATGAATATGTCACTTATAGAGTTTACAGTATGTATGGTATCATGTACTTGCCAAGTGTGCTATTTTCTTCATTTAAAAATAGATTTTTATAATTAAATAACCTTTTTAAAAAATTATTAAAAGAATAACTTACAATAGAATTTGAATTTTTGGTTTTTTAATATATCACCTTTTTGCCAAAAAAATCTCAAACTAGAAAATCATTAAAAAAAGGATAAGATTATTATTACTATGAATCATCATCATCATCCTGCATTTATTTTGTAATTAAATCTCAAAACATAACATGGTTAATGTCATCAGGGGAAAATGGTCAAATTAAAAATTAGTTCATTTTGAGGCTGAAGTTGTGAAATTTTGTTATGAGAAGATCGATTACAAATATATGAAATATTATATTCAAACTTGAGAATGAGATTTGATAATCAAGTAAGGAATGTATGTATCCTCCTCCAAGGGGTCAAACCCACGACCAGACACAAAAAGCTCCATAACAAAATAGGTCAAATAAAAATGTTTTATATTTTTCCTTATTGAGTTATGGATCGATCATGCATGAGGGGTGATAACTCACCTCTCATGATAAAGGAGTGAACCTGTAGAATAACCGTACAACAAATTTAAGGTCAACTGATGTCCACAAGTTTTTCAAAGCTATATAAAGATGAACAGAAAGTGACGCCCATTAAACTTCAGAATATTAATGGTCACTTTCTTCCACAATATGAGAGGAATAACATACAAAATGTCTCAAGCATAGTAAGGTCGAAAGTGGAAATTTACCGCAAACGAACGAGCAAAACAAAATAAGGAATCAAAGACAAAATAGTCAGACTTTTGAAGTGAATTTAATAGATAATTAGAATTAATTATCTGCACGGCCTACCCAATATCCTGGTGCACGGTGTATACTTCTCCAGCATCTCGCAACAATCAATTCGATTTCAAATGAGTAGTTCACATGTGAGTACTGTACTCCCAAAAGGTCAGGAAATAGAAGTCTTTCTAATATCCAGGCATTAAAAACTAATAAAGAAACTTCCACCGCGACACTACAATTGTGTTTTTTCGTGTTTTTTTCCCTTTTGTATCCGGCATGTTTCGAATTGGGGCTTCTGATCCAAGTCGAAACTACATTGCCCTGCGGTGGAGGTAACATGATGGATCAGGGTCAACCTTTTAGCTCGCCTTGGCCCCCTAATCGAATGTGAGCGGGGATAATCTTATAAAACCATGGTACCAACGGAGGTAGAATTGCTTGGTCACTACAAAGTTACATTTGAACGACGCATGATGGGTCTTCAAATCCTTTTTGCTGTATTACTCGGTACCCTTGAAAACAAAGCATGGAGCAAGCGACAGATCCTCCATCTATTGAGGAAGATGAACACGTCATGTCTCGCGTTCCAACAGCAGACCTCCTGGCTAGCTGAAGTCGCTTGTAACGAGGGATTGCTGGCTCGCTCCACGGCACAAATGGTTGCAGTACAAGGTGATAAGTACAAATCATTTGCAATAGAGATATAAACTATTATGAGAAATGATTCTCAACGGGGCATGTTAAAATTAATTACATATATATAAAATATACTTTAACATGCCCCGTATATATATAAATATAAATGAAAGGGCTAGTTATCTCTTAGATTGGGTTAATTATACTCACGTTAGTCTAATGTGCATTACTTCTCCCTGTGCATTTACTAAAGATTATTAAACATAGAGATAGCTCTAACTAATCACAGAACTGTGCATGGTATAATAAATGAAGTATAATTAACCCAAATTGAAAGATAAAAATTTTTCATGTTCAGGGTTGATCTAGCCAAAAGTATAACTAACATCTCCTATATATATAGAAAAGAAATATAAAGTGGTATAGTAAGATATGAATGGCAAAAGGATAAAATTATGCTATGCCCTGTTAATTCCCTCCTCTCTGAAAAGTGGTATTAAGCGTGTCCAATCCACATCGCAACTAACGAAACTGAACTGTGTAACTCCTGATTGTAGCTACGGTTGAGTAGCAGAAGATTCAACGTGTGAGGATACGTCTATGTAACGTGAAGGATTTTCTAAGAAGGGGCGTGTAGCACGAATGTGCTCGACTCAAGTACTTCGGAAATATGCTTCCCAGGAGTAAACTCTCGGAAGTGAGTTGGGATCGTGCCAGAAGCACGTGCCACAGGTAAAGTGAATCATGGGCTTCGCTAAAGCCGGACTCGCTGCAAAATAGTAAATTGTGCACGGCGACCAGCCCGAGCCCGAGGGTTTCAAGGGGGGAAGCACGAGACAGTTCAAGATCAGTAAATCGCATCCTCCAGCTTGACACAAGGAATGTAGAAGTAGATCACAAGAGCGTAAGTCTGGCGTAGTAGAGTAATATCTAACATCGTCCAATACTATCCAATTAGAGCAGCTCAAAAAACCGGAAGACCGAGGTTCAAACGCATGGAAGCGCAGCGGGAACAAGAACATTGAACTTAGATTGGCCCAAGCCTGAAGTGTGAAGCAATCCTGCAATCGTGCTTCTTCCACCACTTCTACCAAATCAAATGGAGCAGACGGGTCGGACCTCCTCCTCCGATACAGAAGATGGTAGAATGATCCCAGCAAATCCGGATCCGCAGAAGAAATAATCCAGAACCAATCCAGTATCAGGGGAGGGTGAATCGGTATGGAGATTCGGACAGAGCGAAGGACCAAATCAGCAAAATTAGTCGACGGGCGGAGCGAGAGGGCGAGAGAGAAGAGGGTGAGCGAGCGCAAATGAGAAACCGAATAGAAGATACGAGCCGGGAAGGGTCCAAAGGAAGGAGAGAGGCGAGGGACGTTGGGGCAGCTGGGCGGGCGGGCGGGGGCGAGGGACCACGCGTCTTGTCTTATCCCGTCCGTTCTGTAGCAACGTGTAAAGCGCCGCGCGGAGCTGGAACTGCCAACTTGCGAGGTCCGTCCGTCCGTTAGGAAATGTGGGGTGCCGTTCCCTCCGCTCAAAAGAGCGCGCAGGGCAGACGCTCCTCGTCCCGGAATGGGCACCGGGCCAACGGGCCGCGACTACGGGCCTTTATATTTAGAATCTCCGATAATAAAAATCGGCCGGGCCATTTTCGGCGCCTGTCCGGCCCCAGCCGGAGATTCCCAGCCTGTCCTGTCCGGTCACTGCATGCAGAGCCCCTAGAGCCAATTGCAGACGAGCAGGGGCGCGCTCGTATAAAAGGCGCGGCGCTGCTCGTAGGCCTGCCTTCCTCTAGAAGGGAGACGGAGTGAGGGGAGGAGAGGAAGAAGAATGCGGCTGGTGCTCGAGCGGGAGGAGCACTGCTGAGAGAATCGGTTGGGGGCAGGAGGCGAAATCGGCGATTGGGCTCATGAGTGGCGCTGTTGGGGGCTGGGGATTGAATGCGGAGTGAGCCATGAGTTCGACGGGGAGTTTTTGGAGTGCGACGTACAGTAGTTTGTGCTCTCAACTGGCAACGAGCGCTTGTTGTGCTTCTTGCTCGAACCAAGGACCGTATCATCGACATTGCGGATGCTCTCTGCACGCTGGATTGTGGAAGTTCGAAGGCCCATCTTCGCCCAAATGCCAGGTGAAGATCTCGAGCAAGAAATCTCGCAGCGGGATGTTCCGATCGATTTCTGTACAGAATCTGGGCGATAAGAGTTTGTCTGCCTCGTGTAGTCCGAGTTCTAGCGGCGAGATACATTCGCCGTTCGATGAGTCCAGCTTTGAAACCCGCGAGAAGCTGGCCGACGAGGAGTGCAACGCATCGACTGATGATGAAACGAGTCTTACGGTAACCTTAATGGAGGAATTGGCTACCCTGATTCAAGTAGTGAAAGACGGAGAGGTGGGTCTTGAAGAAATGCACGGTGATGGGAATGACGGCTTTCGGGGAGGGGATTCAAAACGAATTCTGGCCCGATCCCGCATGGCCCGCTCCGTGCCTGATCTGTGCGCATACGCAGGACCAGATTCCAAAGGTCCTACTGTGGCTGCCGCGCTGAAGTTTGAATCACCGGGTCTTACTCGTCCTCAGTTGGAATGACTGGGTTCTCCAGATGCATCCCCCATCCCCAAAAGCGGGCAAACTGAAATCCAATTTTTATGTGGAGCGACATTCGCGGATCGATGATTTACAGCAGTTGATCACACCACAAGCGTTGTGAGGAAATCGTACCCGTGATTTACCAACGTGGAACGAATGAAATTCATTGATGTGAAATATAGACGAAAAGTATTCTTGGTGCGAGGACAGAAAATTTTGACTGAAATGATGACGGTTATCAGCCAGCTTTTAGATGCAGCATGCTCTGCTTACGCCATGAACGACGATTTTGGAGGTGGAAATCGCGCAGGTTTTGCCTTGTTAGCTTAAGCCAAGAGCAGAATAATTTGATGTCCGACTCGTCGTCCGACGTCTCCACTAGCTGCCCTTGTTTAGTCAACATGTTTCTAGCATTGCGGTCCTTGAGCGTTCATGCGATCAGTTTGTGAGATTGTGTAGATTTGTATATATGCCGAAGGCGATTTAGTTTTCTTGGGAGCATTCCGGTCTTGAAAGATTGACTCTTCGATTCAGAATACATGTAACAATTGTTCCAAATACCAGAAGAAATGGCCACAATCGTTCAGTGTGAAATTTGAGCAACATATTTTTTTCTGGACAAATGTGCGTTGAGTTCAAGGAACAAGGAAGTTTTCATTTCAGAAGCGGTGTATAATCATTTCAGATAGATACAGCAGTCAAATTATAAACGTGTGATGACGATGGGTCTGCGGGGAAGCAAAAGAACTAGCCTGTTCCAAAAGCTGACTTACCAGTACCCCGAGTTGTCCGATTGGACTTACCATAAGTCCAAGAACTTACAGCTTGACACGTTCTCACAGTTCCAAGCTTTCGATCATCGCAGGATCGAAAGCTTGCAACTTGGCATGTGGTAAGCTTAATCGCAAGGTAGTCACATTGATAGAAAATCCTCGTCGTTTGATATTTGATCCAAGTTGAGTCACTTACAAACTCTCCGAATATGGGCATAAACAATTTCGACATCTCACAATGCAACATTGTTTGATTGTGGGTGGATAGCTTAGCATCATTACTTCCTAGGAACGCAACACAATCATTGTACGAATTGACAGTAGATGAATATGAAGCCAATATGACACGACTCAGAACGCAAACGCGAATGTCAATGAAGATCCAAGCTTGTTCAATGTTCGATGCAAGAAAGACTTCAAATCAGCAAGAGAGAGAGAGAATCAGCTGTTTATGTTCAAACTCTGCATTATATCATCATCGGCTTTGAGGTCGTGCATTTGCAGGGATTGAGCTAGACTTCTATGCAAAGATCGCATACAATCCATGCTCTTCATCACGGCCCAATTTCAAGTGGGGCGTTGATGACCTTGCGCAAACGTTAGAATTTCAGAGAAAGCATAGGGAGTCGATTTAAGGTGTGCAAAGCTTCAGATGTACTATTTTTTTCATAGTTAAAAGCACGCTTTGTACATCTTGTCGACCAAACGATGAAGCGAGTGACTTTTCTCGAGTCATGACTGCCCATCTTGACCGTCACTTTCCGCCTCATCAACCTAAAAAGTAAGCAAGTTTTTTTATGTCAATATTTAGTTTTGATGCCATATAAAAAGGAATAATCCAGTAAATCAATGATTCCTAAAATCGTATAAAATGGAACCTTGAATCGTCGCGAAGAGAGAAATTGAAAGTCTATTCGGATTGAACCGAGTCATTAAGTGCTCCATTACATAAGTTTGACCATGTTTATTATGTTTACAAGAAGATTTCAACACAGTATAAAAATGGGGCTCAACTGAGTCCTGATTGGTGCATAGAATGAAAGTTTGTGGTGTCAATCTTGAATTCCACATCAAAGGTATATTTCTTTGCAATGTAATCAACTTGTGACCGTACATGTTCCATAGTTCAGGATTGGTTCCTGAAGTTCGCCGAGTGGACACTTGGCAAAACTCTCTTCGATTACATCCACATTTCTACGCAAATATTCCTGAGGTAAGCCAGTAAATTGGGTTGATAGCAGCATTTCGTAGATTCCGCCAAGTTTCATTTGACTCTACCGAATCAAGAAATCAAGGTGTTGATGGAACAAAGCTCATCCAAGTGGTTTCGATGCAATGTAACCGACGTACAAGCCTGCCTCTACTTGCTTTCCTTCTTTTGCCAACTTGCCAAAGGTCGGAGTGAATCTGAACACAGAACACAATATGTTCATTAGTACGAACAAAGTATTTCCTTCTATTCTGAAATGTAATCAAGATTATTTCACAAAGCTAAAACAACAATTTTCTGTTATCAATTGGATTCGCTTGACTTTAAACATGGATTCATGCCTATGCTCACAATATATTGAATTTTATGCCCTCAATGATTGATGAGTCTGAGTGCAGAGTTGAATCATTATCGTGAGAGGTCTTTTCAGAAACTTCAGGACGTGTTAGAGTGCTTTGATGGATTCTTCTAAGTTCAAACACTCTCAGTTGTATCCTCGATGTTTGATCACGCACCGAAGTGAGACTTTCGAATGAAGTTCAAATTTCAAATTAATGCAATCCATTTGAAATTTCTGACCTTTTCAAAGAGCTCAGATCCGTTAATCTAGAGACCAAAACCCTCGTAATTAGCGTGCGGCTAATTACGAAGGTTATCGTTATTAGCCGCATGCTAATTACGATAAAAGATAGAAGACTGTAACACTATTTACTTCAGAACTCAAACTCAAACATACATCCTAAGTGAACTAAAGTCTAGTAATATAGAACGAACTTACAATTTTAAACTTGAAGCTGTCCAAGACAAGTCCTCCAAATTCATTATGTTACTTAAGAACTGAAACTCTAACTTTGATAAATGATGCAACATGCATTTTTTATCCCAAACTTCTTCCCAAACTTCGTATAACTAGGAAATGTTTCTCACTTTCATGTATTTTATTTGAAAATAGCACAATAAGATCTTCAAGTTAATAGATAAAATGATCTGAGTTGATTAGCATCATGCGTATGTATGTACACACAACTCCAATAGGACAACTCGGAGGGTTTTAACAAGTGAATCTTGACATTCTTTCCCATAATTTTGAAATAATATAACTGTACAATAGAGTACGATATTCGCATCCCATCATTCTATTACTATATGCATTTCTTGTCAAAAATCATGTCCAAGTTCTACTGTCCTTTGTTTAAAGCTGAATTCAATTAGGGACAAAACATTGAACTTGGACATGCTTTTGTCCAAGTTCAATGTTTATGTTTTAGCTATGACACATCAAATTGTTAGGATGTAATTAAGATCTTGTTAGCTCAAGTTGAACTAGGGTTAATGTATTACTATGTAAAAGATGTTGGTTGTAAGGAATTAACTAAGATCTTGTTATCTCAAAATGTAATACTTTCAGTTAGTTGGACTAGGATTAATCTGTTGCTGTAAGAGATGCGGATCTCAATGACACGATTGGGATTTTCAATAAACCAGTATTATGTTTATGTGAACAAAGCTTCAACAATATGAACAACATAGTTCTTATATAAATTTTGAGCTTTGAGTGTTTGCTTCCATACTGTATTGTTAGAAACTAACAAATAATATCAAAGTGAGTGAATAATAGTCTCTTCAAATTTTTAACTGCAAGCCTTTGAATTTAGTAAATTTTTTCAGCTCAAGATCAAGCAACACTAGGAGTAGACGTGAGATTCTACAATTGGATAAAACAAAAACATTCAAGAAAACTACAGCGAAGATTTAAACCACAAAGCAAAAAAACATTGTCACATAAAAGAATATAAATGTTGAGAAGTAAGTATGATGGTTGAAATACTTGACTCTAGACTAATTTTGATGACTTTTACAAGTAACTACAGGAACAAGAGATTGATGATTTGCAGATCTTGTCTTTGGTTCAAAAAGCTCAGCTTGCTTTCTGATCTATTTAACCTGTGTAATTCTAGTCCTCGGCTGGATGTAAGATCCTGCAAGAAAAAACTAAACTAAATTTTTCAGGGGAAGGATTAAAAAATATAATTATGTAGAAACTATACCCATATCCAACTATACCCGTGAGTGTGACAATTGTAACCACCCATGGTAACTTTTCCATACCCATTACCCATCTATTATCCATGAATCCATACCTAACTCATTTCCATGAGTCCATCACCAAAATAAAGTTACTTAAGAGCACTCAAAGTGATTAAAAAAATTTGACGCGCCAATGAGAATTTTGAAAAGAAAATTCTGACAATTAAAGTTTCACTTCAAGGTGCAAAATTGTGTTTGACCAACAAATTGATAAGAACATGAATAGCTTCAGCAGAGGCATCACATGATGGAACAAGAGAAGTACAAATCATACGACAAAAGTTTTGTAATCAGAATTTTGGGAAGAAACTTTGGGCAATATAAAGTTTCACTTCAAACAGCAAAATTGTGTTTAACCAACAATATGATAAAAGCATGAACAGATGATAGACAGACAATAGGTACATAATGTAATTATATGCAAGTGAGCTCTTCAAACGCATGACATGGCCATTGTCCAAACAAAATGTCCCATGATTTTTGGATAGAGCCTGCTGATTGACTTCATTTGTCAGATCCATAAAGAGTTGCGGAAGAGTTTTTTCTAGAGTTGTACATCAGAGTACTATACCCATGGGTACCCAATATCTATCCATTCCTTGTACCCATCCATTTATTCATGGATATGGGTGGATATTGGGTACTCATGGGTATGCGTACCCATTCTGATAGAAACTTTTAGTGCCCATAGGTATGATGATCATATGATTGAATAAGAATATCTATATGAATAAGGAGCAAGCGTAAAAGTTACTAGATCAAAATGATGTACATGATGACTATTTTTTTAAGAAAATAAGTTCATCTAGTAAAAGACCATAAGATGTGTTCAAGATATTGAGACTAAATCTTCTACATTCAATAATTAATATTTCAATTATCTTAAAAAAGTATTATATTATAATTAAATTCATATTCAAAAACTTTAATTTTGAAATGAACGTTTAAATATAAAAATTATAAGATATTATTTGATTATTTTTTACCAATTTCTCATTACAAAAAGTTTTCAAATAAGTTATATGACTATTCAAAATCATTACTTATAAATATAAAAAAATTTAGTAAAATTATTTTTAATGAAATTGATACTTTTGATGAACTCATGATTGACTTTTAGATTCTTAAAAACACTATAAATGATGAAATTTTCTTCCAAGTTTTTATTATCGCATGTTGTTTGAGTATATATTTGATTCATCTAATTTTCTTTTGTTACACTTTTAAACTAGTAGTTTTGATACTACATGAGATGATATGATTGATAAGTTTAATATGTCAGATTTTATAAAAGTTTGAACTTTTTTGATAGTATATTTTGAACTTTTTGTACTTCAATCCTCAATTAAATTTATGGCAAAATAATCTTGTTACTTTTCCAATAAGAAAATGATGGACATTCTACTGCATTTGATGATGTGCAGTAGATTTTTCATTGCTCTATGCATGAAAATAAATAACATATGTATGCCAATAGTGAGATTTTTAAAATTACATTACATATATCTCATAAATAATTCCTGAATTTTTCTATGATGATTTATCAAACAATGCTATATTGCTATTAGATTACTAGATTACACTGAAATGATATTGATTAAGATTTTAATCATGAATCAGATGAAGTATGCATTAATGAAAATTTTAATTTGTAAAATATATAGATTAATCAACTGCAAAGATTTAATATATGACAACATCAAAGAAGATTATGGCATATATTGAGTTATTTTTAGCATGAAATTATAATATACTAAATTTTCATTGTAATAGTTTGAGTGAGATACATTTTGCAGCAAATTAAGTAATAAAATGCGTATTAATGTAAGATATTAATTTATCAAAAATGAAATTTTTGATAGATAAGTTCAATGAAGATAAAAATAGAGATTTTGTTCAAATAATGCACTGAAAATTATTAATTTTGGAATATGATACGTTGTATGAAATATTGTGCTACTTTAGACATTTTGTATTTCAATCACAAGTAGAGTTAATTAAGATATTTTTTATATATGATATACCCTATTAAGTTTTGACTGCGGTTTATTTCTAGTTAGATTTTAATTCTATAAGTAACCATGCCAGGTTTCAGATCAATAATGTTGGTTATAAAAATGATAGATACCACAACCTGATCCTTTCAAAAAATTTGTGAGGAATTGATTTAGGTCTTGTTAAATAAGGATTATATTATAGTTATTATAGCTAGTTGGGTTGTTTACAATCAATATCTGTATATATTTAGTTAGTATAAAAGGTAGCGGCTAGTAATTTCTCAGTTTATGCTAATTATCCCTCACCCTATTCACAACCAGTGCTACTGCTGGGTGTGTTGCCATGGCAAGGAACTTCATGTACAACCGGTTTGTTTCGGTGGGAACACACAAGATTGAACACTTGATAGCTTGATCTTTCTTGTTCCCAACCTTGCTTCTGCACTCAGGAAGATAGAGCTTTCACTCAACGCGTAAGGTTGCACAGCCAATGTTGCATGGAAGACCTTGACTTGCAGGGAGTGTGTTTATTTTCAGATGAAATCCTTTTGACCAATCATAGACATACTTTCTGAAACAATTTATATAATTTGTGTAGGATGAAGTATAATTAGCATAAACTGAGTATAATTAGCCGCTCTCGTGTAGAAAATTGGTCATAGTTCTTAATGATAATACTATAAATTAAAGCACTATTGTATTTTTGTGAATAAAGCCTCAACAAAATAAAGCATCCAGCTCATATGTGATTTGCATTTTGTTTCATTGCTTTGTGAATAAATTACTAGAAACCTACATCAATGTTATTTATATTTCCATCTTTAAAGGGGTTAAAAAAATTTGTAGACTACTTCTTATGATTTTTGATGTGATTCAAGTCTAAAAGCATAATTTTTTATGAGTACTTTTTCTTCTTAAAACAAAAACCCTTGATGATCTTGATAATTTGAATGATCTCGGTCCCTCCATCGGGACCAGATGCGCCCAGCTGGATTAAACTATCTTTACCTAGTCCGCTAGTTTTTTTCCCTCCAAAGGTTCCTCTTGTTTTATCATTTTGGTATTGTGGAACCATCATTGTACATCTTTATTGAAATTATTGACACCCATTTAATTCATCATGAGGCAAATATCATCCCAGAGATGAAAGAACATACACATATGGGAAAAATGATGAAAGTGAAGAATACATGAAGATACTCAGAGGTCCTGCGACAAACAACACTTTCGTTCATACAATCTTCTTGTAATCTGTAAAATAACAGTCATTCATTAATAGCAAAGGATCTCGAAATATTGTAAGCTTGCCCTTCATCCGTAAGCGTGTAAATGCTCATGTAATTTAAATAAACCGGTGGTTCTAACTCCATATAAACTACATTCAGGTGAGCTGTGTCGATGTGAAGTGGTAACATTGGTCTCTGCAAGTTGATGACCCTCGACTGACGAAAAAGCGGTTGGTCTTAAAGTCCCCATAGGCCTGTGTCTGTGACTGTCACGGTCCGCCGTTCGTACTTCACCAGTAGCCAAAAATCGAGGGCCTCCATTCAGTATTCGATAGGTAAAGGGGACGTCTGAGACACCATCTTTTACGCAGTAAAGCGATGACGACGTTGACAGTTTCGTGACAGATCTCGTCTGAAATAAAGAACCGCAGTTCTGATAATTTGCAATTGGCAGAGACCAACTAACCGAACGAAGAAGAAACGAGCGTCTTGCACGGACGACTTCGTCCTGCCGGCCCCGGACGGACGGACGGACAGACGGACGCTCGTTGTAAGTGAGAAGTTTCTCGAACCTCTAATTCTCATAGAATCCTGGAGGTCAGACATTTGGGGGTCGTCTACGACCGAAAGACTTTAAATTAGTGGACAGATTTTCAAGAATTCCTTCACTTAAATGTATTATAATCAAGCTTAGCAGCTAAATCTGTAATCCTTTACCGATTGCTGGTTGCATCTGTCGTAAACCTTCCCCACCACTGGAAGAGAATCGACGTGTTGGCATCGGTGGGACGACGAAGATTCTATGTGATGGATGGATGGAAGGACGGACGGACGGACGGACGGATGCCCTGCGCGCCTACCTGGCCGCGATGCTGTAAGTGGAGAAGGTGGCAACGCTGCCAGAGGAAGATCTGGAGGAAAAGCCTCGAGGTCCCGATGGAGGGACGGGAGCCCCAGCATCGGTGCTGGTGCCGGTGCTGGTGCGCCTGTTTTCGATCTCCAAAGCATGAGTCAAATCTTCAACCACTCGCGACATTTCCGGCCTTTTATCCCGCACTTCAATTAAGCTCTTCAAAGCGAGTTCCGCCACTTTCCACACTGACTCTCTGTCGAAGTCTCGACCCAATTTGGGATCAGTTATGCTCTCGATATCGTCACTTCGCATTGAAATCTCCACCTGTCCAAAGGAAACAGTTTTTTCTTCATCAGATGTTTCCCACACAAACCACTTCTACCAAAGATCGAAAGAACGTGGACACTCGAGATTAGGTGTTGGCCTCATGCATCCCCCAGGTGATGAATGGGCTTGCAGACCCATTTTTAGGGTTTGCAGCTTAAAAGTACAGCTAGGAAAATGAACGCTTCCATGCGCCTCTTTTGTAAGAGGCGCATGGAACGCTTCCATGCGCCTCTTACAAAAGAGAATTGTAGCTCATAGGTGTAGATCAGAGTACTAACCCACTCTTTAAGATTCAATGCTGTACTGTTTGGAAACTGAATAGTCCTTGGAGACTTTCCGGTGATAACTTCTAGCAGAACGACTCCGAAGCTGTAAACGTCGCTCTTCTGATTAAGAAGACCATCTTGGAAGTATCTGGTGGTCGTCAGCATCCGAGGATATCATGTATGTCAGACACTGAAGACAGATGCATGATTTTAGTTCGAGCATTTTTTTCCAATCTGAAGTCTTTAAGAAAGAAAGTAACTGCAGAAATTGCAATAAGTCTTACTGTGGATCGAGGTAGCCGAAGGTACCCTTCACGGCTGTCATAACTCCAACATTTCTGTCTTCTTCTCTGGTGGGCTTAGAGATGCCAAAGTCGGAAACCTTTCCAATTAGAGTCTCAGTCAGGAGTATGTTGGCGGTCTTGACGTCCCGATGAATGATTGGTGGACTACAGGAATGGTGAAGGTACTCGAGTCCTGGAGAACCATGGATAACATTATTGCTCTCACATCAGATGCAGAAGAACAATCAGAAGAAGGAACTAGCTCCTTCCTTCCATGAGACAGATTTCTCTCCGCATGATGCACTCTCCCCAAACTTTAGGTCGAAGTGAAAAAAAGACAGCACCTTTGCTTGCATCGAGGATAATATTTAGACGTTTTTTCCAGTCAAGTGGAGCCCTGCTTGAGCTCTGTTCTCCGTCACCTGTCAAAAACATATCAGAAGTAACTTAGTACTGACTTGGACTTTGGTCGTGTTCAAGTCGGCTGGCGGAGCTCTGCTATGACTACAACCTTGTTACATGTGCAGAAACCGACATGAACTCCCATGTGACCTGTGGCCATTCTCTCGACTCCAAAGTGCCTCTCAAGGTCTTGCGGCAAACCATTTGGAACCATCTTGAGAGGGAGGGGAGCAATATTGTTGGTTATACCGCGGATGTGTTCCTCCAAGGTTCCTTCGGCCATGAACGCGTAGATGAGAACTTCATGGTTTCCTTCATTACAGAAGCCAATAAAGTCAACGATGTGCCTGTGGTGAATTCTTGACAGAAGGGACACCTGATGAAAGCACCCACCGAAATTATCAGTCCATAGTGTGCAGTGAAGTAAGGAAAGGGTTAACAACACCAATTGATTTTGAGGGATTGAGAAATCTAACAGGACGCTTCTGTGGAGCGTGACATGCTATCTACTGAGCCGACGAACTTACCTCGTTAAGGAACTGATCTCTGCTATTTCTGGTATTCTCCTTGTTCACTTTCACAGCCACATGCTCACCATTAGCCAGTGTTCCTGAGTAAACCAGTCCATAGCCACCTCTACCGAGCACTTTGACGAAATCGTGTGTAATAGTCGTCACCTCCGCCCACGTGAAAGATGTGGGCTGATTCACCTTCGCAAGTAGTGGTAGTCCTGCACAATCCACCTCCTTAATTATGAGAGATGTACAACATGCAAGGAGTAATACAAGCTGTAGATATTTGTTGCAGCACATGACAAGTGTTATTGCTTGAAACAGGACGAAGCTGAGGAGGAACGAACCCCAGTTCTTTGGATGCGAATCCTTGAGGCATTTCCGACACACAAACAGCATCAGTAGCAGTACCACGACCACGGCTCCTGCAATTGCGCCAACTATAATACCAATTTTTGAGCTGCCCTTATCCGAGACCGCTGCAGAAGATGGTACCGGACTGCCAGGTTGTAGGCAGAGATTTCCTCCGAAGCAAAGGTAGGGGTTATTGACAACCCTGTAGAAAATTCGGGTCCAAGAGGCGACGTTTGAGAAGGAGTCAGAACATGTTGAAGGGTTTTGCCATATCAACAGCAGGTTTAGTTCAGGGTTGTGCCAATCTCCATCTTTCCAGTGCTGTGCTGTATTGAAGAGATGCGTATCTAGCTAAAATTGCCGTGTGTTCTACTTTCAATAAGACATTGATGTGAGACATTGATGCCTACGAGAGAGCCAGCACGCCGAAGTCAATCTTGTCCTGAAGACGTGGTGGCAATCCCCCCTCGAACAAGTTGTTGTCGAGATTCCTGGACTTGCACAAAGGAACAAGTTACGGTTCATGGCATGATAGAGCAAAACCAGTCATCCAATACTCAACGGTATAGATTCCACCTACAGCAGCATCCTCTGTCACATCCTGATTGGGCTGGAAGGTACTCACAAAATTGTAAGATTTGGTATAAGCCCCAAGGTGTCAGGGATTTTACCACCGAGACTGTTGTTCTGCAATCGCCTGTATTTCACGGTCCACGAGTCGTCATAAGTCAGGAAGGGTAAGGGCAGATAATATAGAACAGAATTTATGCAGTACTCCACTGTACTGAAAATGACTGAATCTTCACAAACTGAGCACTTCCAACACAAGGAAAATCTTCCCTGCCAAGACTTTCTTGATTCTTTCCTTGATTATTCTGCTGTATCCACCGGTGCTTTAATTTTCACTTACAAAGTTTGAAGTTTGGTCAGACTCTTGAGGTCAGGAATCGTTCCTGTCAAATTGTTATTATCCAGCGCCCTGCACAGATGGTGAAAGAAAGGTTTTGGTAAACGGGAAAGTTTTCCAATCAGCACGTTCAACTGACCAGTAATCGAGAAACAAAAGCAAGGTATGCCAGAGCATCAGGAGCCCGCTTCTTACACGTCTGTGAGTTCGGAAAGTTTGACAATTTCTGGCAGTATTGGACCACTCAAGCTCATGTTCGACAAATTCCTGCGTGGACCCGATGGAGGCAAGTAAGAATCAATACAGGCAAACACAGATTTTCTTTCAGAACCTCGCAACAGAAGAATGGAGACGCTAGCAAAATAACTCACAGCTGAGTGACACTGGATGTCCCTGTGACGGCTGGATCGCTGCAGCCCAACCAATTGTAAGCCCATGGTAAGCAAGGGTCACCCTCGTACTGGGTAAGATTGAGCTTGAGCTTGATGGCTTCGATAGTAGTTACTGATCATTTCACACCCAAGGAAATTTGTTAACCGCTAGAACTTATGATCCTGTATCCGGATCAGTTGAGCTGGCTTGCCTTTCTGCCTCAGCTCAAATGCACAGACTGCTCCTTTCAGATTCATGCTACACTTTTAGCAGCATAAGGGACTCATGCGACAGACTGACTGACTTTACGAGGTATGGAGCTCAATGGGTTCCATTGTGGGTCCATGACGATGCATAATATCCTACACTGAGAAAAGAAAAAGAAAACCATTTGAAAGTAGCTAGAAATGTGTTTCTACAAAACTGCACCTTCCAAAACTTGCCAATCACAGCAATCACTCAATGCATCGCGTTAAAGCGTGATCAACTTCGCAACCTCGTGACATATAAAAATGCAGTACCATCAACTGTCGAGGTAACCTGGTCGTAAGTAAAGTTTATAAGACTGTAAATCTCCACAGCATTCAAAATTGCCCCCAGGGTCGAGTCTTCGGATGGAACGATCGTCAGGTTGATGGTTAGCGCTTGGGTTGCTTGGAGGAGGAGAGGAAGACCAAACTGAAATGTCGAATAGGTCGAACGGTTCACTCTCAAAGGGTTCACCTTCAATGGATCCTTATCAAGGTACACCATGACTTCCCTGACGTCTGTGGAATTAGTTTCAGCGATCTCGACGAAATAAAGCAATATATAGTACAGTTGGACCGCGCTCGTCGTCTGGGAAGGATCATATTCCTGCAGCAGGGTAATTCTGCTATCGCTCCAAGCCGATTGAAGAACTGAAATGGGCGCTTCAGTGTCGTAGTACAATCTGTTGTCAATTATCGCGTTATTGTTGGCAATGCTCTTGATGGACAAATTCTTCGGGTCAGATGCCCAGAGGCGGTCTTGTAGATCGTCCGGGTACCTGAGCAGTGGCAGCGAAAACACTGATTCTGAGAACGACTGAGTTACCTTTGCAGCTGTGCTAGTACATGCCATCTGAATACACATCGTTGACAGGATTCTCTGTTCTCTCTCAGTTCAAAACAGTGTTCTAGTACACAGAATCTACGTCTCGAGGAACGGGATATCCGAACCAATTTGTAGAAACGGAAACTGGAGTGTGTCAGATTCTTTTCTTCGTATATGCACACCTGCACTCTGCTTTCTCCATGAGACCCAAGACTTGAACGTGTAAATATCAGCACACTTCACTCTAATTCCCAAGCTTTCTCAGCCCTAACAACAGCTGCCAGTGTATGTCACAACAGCACTCGTTGCTCTGTGTATCAAGAGTTCCTGTTTGCAACTGCTGTCCCTACAACTATCGACAAGTAGTGAAGTGCCCACGTCTAAGGAACAGAATTTCCGTTTTGACAAGAGATTTCCGTGCGACAGAGGTTTGAATATATGTCGTGTGTGCAAACGAAAAGCAGTAGTTATATGCTGGGACAAAAGTTGATTTGCTCATCCCTAACCCGACCTGAAATTTTTTTCAAAATCAGTACATTTTCAAGCTCCTCTTAGTCATCATAAGTGGATGAAGATTTTCGTTGCATTTCAAGTCACAGGCAGGCCATTTCTAGTAACAGAAGGGAAAGAGGATGAACTGACCTGATAACTGGACTTCCGGATTTGCGACCGCAATCAATTCTCACAATATTGGTGAGCACGATACTCTCAATACTCAGCTGGTAATAAGAGATAGGAAGAGGGCGAAGTTCCAACGAAGAGACGAAAGGAACATGAGATGGGCCCCGCTGAAAGCATATGGCGAAGTTCTCAGTTATGGGAACGAATGTGACCTCCCTGATGATGGGCGTCCAAGGATCAGAAACTTGGATGTCTAGCAAGTGAAGGGTTGCGATAGACACAGAGAAACTCGCAGGCTGGGTAAGTCCAGAAGTGAAGTTTCCGCCCAAAAACATAAAGCGAATCAAGTGCGGAATGCTTGTCGAGACCTTGAAGGTATAGCAGCTTTTGTCAGCAGGTCCCGGAAAGTACCGGAGTGTCTGCAATTTGGGACCATTCTGTGCAGCGTCAGGGCCCAGATTGGCTTCACTGAGGTCTATGACTGTGTCTACCCCTGTTCCTATATAATATTCATCGGCAGACCAGGCGATTCCTAAATCATCAGTATAATTGCTCCCACCACCACAATCTACACTGTGAAATCCTGCAAAACAGAAAATTCATTCGAAGCCAGAAACTCATATTAGAATCTGTTCTTCGTCCATAGTTGATTGCTAGTTGATTAGCCAAGCACATAAGCTGTGCCCAACTCTAGTCACGTGCACTGATCTTCGACAAAGGGTCTACACCACTCACTCATTTGGGAGAAGTCAGTGGGATGAGACATCTCCACTGAGAATCCAATCTCTCTCGGAATTGGATGGTTGTTTTTTGGAACCCGATTTGCACTCTTGACAGGAACGATGACAGGACTGACGCACCTGGTTGAGCCCTTGCTTGCAGCGATCTCCAGCAGAAGAAAACAATAAACAGGAGCACAGAGCTCCAACGTCTTGCCCACATTGTGCAACTCGGTCGAAAATGTCTCGCAGAATCCCTCTCCCTTTCTCTGCGTGGTTGTGCCAGAGAATGAGCTGCTGCTCTTCTCGCAGTAGGAGGAGGAGGAGGAGGAGTTGAGTCAACACGTGTAGACCGTGGACCCTGACTGTTCTAATCACTACGGAGGCATTGCAGGAGTTTCTCTCAACTCGTGATCGTAAGACCTGGCCAGCGGAAGTGAGAGGTGGGACGTCACATTCATTGTCCTGCTAGGCCACGAAGCTGCGAGGATTAAAGTGCCATCTGCAGTACAAGCCATTACGTCGTTGTACAACCGAAGAGGTTGACTTTCGGACAACCTTCAATCTCACTCGAAATAACTCCCACTGGCATTTTCTGTCATTCGTGTTCTCGACCATCCATCCATTCACCTTCACCTTTACTTCTTACAGTGTTATCTCTGAGCACGATCGAGCCCAACAAGTGGGGATGCACTGCTGACGTCGACTGTATAAGGACCCGTTTGTCAACCCTTCTCATCCCAGTGATCCCTCCCGTCCATCGAGTTTGGTTTGACCTCTTGGTACCCCCACCACTCTGGAGTCAACGCGTATCTTATCCACACTCTTCATCGTCGTTTTCTCGTCTGGTTCCAACCCCCCCAAGATTCCCCCGCGCTCTGATTGTCCCCGTCTTGTTATCCGACGAGTCAATCACCGCGATTCAGATTTTATCTCGCTGAAGTAAAATGCGTATGGAAGCAAACTGATGAAAGTGAGCGTATATTCTGGGATGACTTTTCAGTATGAAGGAGCGAGCAGTTGCAGTGTTCAAGAGTTGAGTTGTCTGCATCATAATAGTCCACTACGATCACGGGATATGAGCTGTTCTACTAACAGTGTGAGTGCAGTGTATCGTGCGAGGGCAGCATATCATTATTGTTGTGTGAATCGTTGTTCGAAAACTGAGCTGTAAATATATATTATGAAATGTGTCTCCGCCTCACGTGCACTAAACTCAGCTCAGACTGGTTACTTCAAGACGTTGACAGAAGAAGTTCTGCTGCCGTGTGCACCTTAGTAGCCAGTCTCATGGTCCTGATCTCAATGTCGTAGCGTGGTTTGACCAGAAATATCAGGCCGAGAACCCACATGCTCTGCATCTATCTGCAGCAACTGAAATTTGGAATTTTTTATATCACTCCCTCGTTAAGCAGTCGGAAGCTTCTTACCTTAACAGAACAAGCATAAGGAATATGTCATTACGCGATGCTGGAGACTTGAAAGCTCAGTGGGTTACGGTGGGAGTGCGCATCCAGAAAACACTTCTTTTCCAGAGCTAAAAACTTCGTCAACCTTACAACAAACTAGGAACGTCGAACGTGCTCTCGTCTGTTCTGCTAGAAAAATCTACATTTGTATTTGCTCTTGCGAAAGCTAGACAAAGGCACAAGTGTTGAATCTAGCGTGCAGTCAAGAGTCAAGAGTCAATGGTAGGGCCCGTAAGCATCGTGGAGATATGTCAGGCTGTAGGTACAGAGAGAGAAACCCAAAACTCACACTACCAATTAGTCCAAGCAGCAGCTGAAGGTAGTCGGCCTTTACAACAAGACAATTCTTTCTCGTCTATGAGAGCGAGGGCGGTGCACTCAGACATTGAGATCAACGTGAGCATCGCCCAGCATCAGTGACAAGCAACAGCAGTGTCCGAACTCTTTTTGAGATTATTTTTTATTACCACATTCCGAGCATGTGCGAGAAGTGTCTTATAGCACAAAATTTAATTGTGCGGAACCGACCAGGAGAGGAGACTGGATAAGGCCAGAACTGATGATGAAGTTCAGTCAACGTGGACTCTGGTCTGCTTTGAGACTTCATTTCGTTTTATGATCATTACTCATTGATGAAATACATTTCACGGACGTATGTTCACTCAGAGAATTATTTTTTTTCTTATAATTCTGTGTAAAGAAAAAACTGTGTATCATGCTTTATTGTACAGTACAAGAGATTCGAAATTACATGGTAGTCATCCACTAGTCTGTATGGCATTAAGCCTTTCGTTTTGCGTCAGAATGGAATTGCAACAACATCAATTGTTATTTCATATCAATGAAAGCTCCTCTTCGGTTTCATGCATCCGATGCATGAAAGTAGATATTTAACCAAATGAGAAAAATCAAAGATTGTGTTGAGAAATTTGAACATAGCTTTATACATGAATGAGGAGAAGAATTTCAATGATTTCAATTAGCAGATAATTTTAGCTAAATCCAAGTATCACGTAGGAATATTACATGTTAAGCATAGAGCTTGAATGCACATTGTTTTGACTTACACAAACCAGATGCACCACAACCAGAGTTCGCACACAGGAGATACCGATTCACCTTGACGAGTGTCATTCATACAATCAGTTTAACCCCTTAAGTAAGTATTAATATGAGCTCTCTTATAAACCTAGTAGGTTAACTGCAACAACTAACAACTTACAAATTATTCAAAATTAATCATGACCTGGATTAATTCATAACAAACATATCATATCAGATAAATATTACATATAAACACATCATAGCGTATATACTGGCTGCATGTGATGATTTGCAAAATGTTCATCAAAAATTTAAAAATTTATAGTTATGTGTAATAGATTCAATTATGTCAATAATTGTTCAAATTTGATTCATACACTCTAAATTTTTATGTTTGTATAGTTTGATATTAAAATTTTACACATTACATATGCATATAATCATTTGTTTACAATTAGATGGATTGCAAGTGATACAAGGAGATTCATCAACTGAAATATGCGATGATAAAATATTGTTATTTTCTTATTATTACATATTAGGTTCTTTAAATTTTTTTGAAAAATACATAATCTTTTAAATAGATTCATAATTTTTCAAAAATAATGATATTTGTAAGAAATACATATAAATAATATTTTTTGCTTCTAGCCTTTTGCGTGACATTCTTTAAAATATTGAATCAAAACTGAGAATGTACTATCAGAAAATTGTACATAACAAGATGATTTTCAATAAGGAAATAATCAATTTGTGTCAATTTTTTAAAATTATAAGAAAAAAATATATTTTGTAAATTTACGTTAATGATGTTATATGATAGTTTAATTTGAGAAAATAAATAAATAAATAATGTATCAATAATTTATATAAAAAATTTTAAATTATAATTTATACATACTTGATTTTAGTTTATTTTTTTAACTTTTTTATTGAATCAAATTTGTATTTGATACAATACTTATTTTTTAATTATAAAAATATAAAGAATAAAAGTTAATACTATCATCCCATATTTACAAAAGTTTTTTTAAACATAATCTATTTGATTTTCCAAAATTTTCACTTTATATCATCAATGAAACATACTTATTATTATAATTATTAATTAATAAACCCAACTTCAAGTAAAATGATCAACATTCAAAATATTATACTCTGAGTCAAGTACTAATACTAAGACAACATTGTTGTCTATATTATTTTAAAACATGATAATTATGTTTCAATTAGTATGTGATATGATGATTTATACTTCTACACTTTGATTTTCAAGTTTTTTTCAAAAATTGTTATCATGAACATTATTATTTGTGGTCAAATAATCAAAAACATGATTTTTAAAGTCAATACAGTGTTAGTATTTGACGAGAATCATATAAAAGTAGTGACAATAAATCTAGAGTCAACACGAAAATCAATGGAACATTGAAACACAAGTCGGCAGTTATGAAACGTGGTTCAACCTTCTAAATACTATGTACACGTCAAGGAATCACACCTCGTTTATTTAACTAAAAGTAGTGGTAATAAATAAATCCCTGGGATCAAATACCCCGACACTTCCTAGCTAAACCTAGCTAGGACTGAGGTTACTCTTTAACAGAAGTTAACTTCAACATACACTTCACAATGTATAAATAGTCTCCTAAACAATTAAAAAACAAACCTTCATATAGCCAAAACATTACATTGCACGAATGTATAATAACTTTGACAAATAGTGAAATTTTAAAAGATTTTCACATCAATGATAGTAAATGACCATGTCATAATTAGACTTCTTGTGAAGAACATGGAGTAAAATGATGACAAATCTGCAAAGTAAAAAAATTCATTACAGATTAATTATATTTGATAAATGTTCAAAAAATGCATTAAATATGTATATACTTAATACATTGTAAAAAAACTTCTTAATATACACTAATATATAGATTATTTTTTGACAATCCAATAGTAAAGATATATTTTACAATCTCATGGTGAGAGACTTTTTATTGAGACTAACATATTTTAAAGAAATGTGAGATTTTACATGAATGATTGTGAAAAATAATATTATGTTGCAAATGACTTTTGACTATACTATAGGTATTACGTTTTAAAGGGATTTCATTCACGAATTTCGCTAAAGATTTCAATTCCGGCGGCCCTCCGGTCCTTCGATTAGTTTTCAATGAGCTCCCATCCACAAAGCAAGAAAAAATAAAATTCCAATCACACCATCTATATTTTGTGCTCATGTCGTACATACTAACAAGCTTTGAAATTATTTTATTAGTAAAAGGATTCAAATGATTTGTTAGTTCATAACATTCATCTTACATTGTATGATCTTTCATCCAATCAAGTTTTTTTTCACGCGAAGTTAGATGTTTGACATAATTGACAATTTTTTTTTTAATCCATCAAATCTAGTAATAATGCAAAAAATCATCAAAAAATAGAAGCATTTCACAACAAAACCTCATGTTTAAACACTAATAGTTTGCGATAGTCAAATGGCTTGGAAAAGCAGTCATCCAATACTCCCACGTGACCAACGAAGTTCAGAGTCAAAGACATCAAATGTGATAGTGATAGAACAACATGGAGAGGTGAAATATCATGTAACAATTTCACTCATTCAAATGTGGAGTTATTCACTTGATGGTATCCATGTAAAATCTAAATTGCTTACTGGGAGTCTTTATGTTTCATTTTACCTGATGGGATCCCATAGACGAGACACGTCATGCATCTTCTGGACAGTGCAGGCAATGAAATTTTGTCTATCAAAATTCTCAAACTGTACTGAGAATGTGTAAGGATACTGGGGATGTGGAAGTCGGATGTCTCAAACTGGACCAAGAATGTGTCAGATTCTTGGGGAATCCAATATCTTCAGATGCAAATGTCGTCAATGCAAAGAGAAAAGTCCATCCATGAGTGAGGAGCATGATCTCCACAATCACATGCCACTTTTTAATCTGGGCCGAGAATTTGTCAGATTCCTGGAGAACCTGATATCTTCAAACGCGCATGAAATTGGGTGCTGATGATAAAAAATTAATTGCCTTTCTGTAACTCATCACTCCGAGCTGTTCTCAAAGATATCCAGACTCTAGCAGACTTACTAATATGGAGTCGTGGAAGCGAGAAGATCAACAAAACAAGTCCTCGAGACTCTTTTGAGTATTTTTTCCTGCTGTTTCATCTAGCCCATTCTTGTAGAGATTTTTAGTAACGACTTGCGATCAAAAAGCTACACTAAAACTTCCATCATATGTTTAATGTAACACGAAGTATAACTTAGCGACATTGTACATTCTTTGGGTCTCATGGGTAAAACTAAACTTGATGACTTCCATCAAACAATTTATGTTCCGATGTGTACTATCAAACAAATATCTCATCAGATTTGCCTTTGGGAGCTCTATATTGAATGTTTTGGTCTTTCTACAATTTAAAACGAATGATTTGCATGTCTTCCGCCTTGCCACTTACCTCCTTACATTGGACGACCTGCACTTGCTGCAATGAAAGTTGTTACACTCGTTTAGTCTACTTCTACAATGGCGCATGACGGAGTCTAATCTGACAGTTACGTTGAATGTGACATTTCCATTCACATCCATCATAATCACTCTATCACCCAGCTGCTGCTCAGTCAAGCTGTCTGTACGAAATTAGTCCGACTACGATATTGAAGGAACGTAAATAGGTACTCCAGAACCCAAAGTTCACACATATATCCCATTTCTGAGTCTAGAGATAAATTTGAGATAGGGTACTGCAGTACGAGGCCTGTTAGTGTTGCCTGGTACAATCCAATTAGTTTCTTTGAAATCGCTGCGTACGGTTCGTAGAGCCGTGCGCGCTACGACCAGGTCGCCAGCCGTGGGATCTCCGAGAGAATATTGATTCATAGATAGGCTCTAGAAGCATTTTCAGTACCTCTTGCACGATACGGTCTTGGAAGCAGGGAATTCCAAGTGATATTTTCTCGCGCTTACCGGGCAGAAAATAAAAAAAATAGAAATTGGCTTTAGCCGAGACCTTAGAGAGAGTACATTAATGATAACATATTCTTTAAGTGGACTCGTTCTCTAAAAATGTCATTTATACAGTGTGAAGTATGAACATGTGTTTATTTACTCCGGCATTTCACGAGACTATCTGCTGATTGTCACTTGACTGAGTCACAACATGTCAACGAGATCTTCTTCGTACGACTCTAGTTTAGTTACAAAAGGAGGAATCTGAGTGTAGGTTCCGCATGATTTGGCTGGCATTCCACAGTCACGAATCTGCAGACAATTCACAAACTCGATAAATGGAACGAGGAGAGGAGAAAAAATTAGCTTGCAGAAACAAGGGAGTCCGGATCTAAGCAGGACTGAGAGACGTGGGCAAATGCCAACAGCTGTGTACATGACGTGAAGGGGATGATAATGTACCTTCAAGTCTTTAGTCAGGCACACCCAGATTTCGTTAATCAGCTGGCCCTTGCAAGAAAAAGCTGGCTTGGCTCCAATGGCATCACTTACTGCTGCTTTCATCTCACTGGTTTTGTACCTTTTTTGGCTAGGAATGAAACCCGCATCAGAGAGAATTTTCTGCCAGCATTATGGCACCACATTAGAGTGATTGTACAAGATTATACTATATCAGATATTCACTCTTAGAAAATCTACAACAAACGTTATACAGTAAGGAACAGAGGATTCGCGATACTTTAGCTACCTATGCGACGTAGTTGGCTTCAGTACAAATCAAGCGTCTCTTGAGTGCCAGTTTAGAGAGAGCATACCGAAATATCATATCGCAGATGTAGATTCAAACCCACTGAAAAGTAAGTAGCCTCGTCGGGGATGATAGGATAAGAGCATGTTCCATGCTTTTCTGCAATCAGATCATGATAGTCAGCAATATCAGTTGTATATCACAATAGCAGCGAATGAATTAAAAGCTGGACGCATGGACATCACGTAGCAGGTAAAGAATTAACAATGACAATCAATAAGATGTATACATCCTACAAGAGAAAATGATGGTCTAATCGGGTCACATTGTGTAGATTGTAATAGTATGTCCTCTCTAATCTGATGGACGGATGGAGGGAAAGAGAGAGAGAGAGAGAGAGAGAGAAGTAATGATAAGTTGAATGATTCAACGGGGAACTTCAAGCAAAAGAGACGAGCAGTACCCCACTGATGACCAGTAATCGAGTGACGTCGGATGCATGTCACAAACAGCAGTGTAGCCGGTCAGAAGAAGGGGAAACCAAGATACATCGTAGCAACTTCCAGGTCTTATTGCAGCTAGTTACAAATGAAGAAACAGACTAGCAGTCCATGATGGAGTCCACTACGTAGTAGACACTGAACCACAGCCAAATGTACTAGTTCACTCTGATAACCGTCTCTGCTGAACGAAGTAGTCTTCTTCAATACACCCCTCTCTATCTACATCCATTCGATCAATTCAATGTTTCCAAGGTACCTCATGCTGCCAGAATCCATACGGGCCTGATTTTCTTCCTTTACACTGCTTGGGAGAGTTGCAGCTGAGGGTAGGCCAGTATTCAACTAGATAATCATAAAGCTCTGCAACCTAGAACGCGTTGATCAAGACATGCAGAGGTGAAGAACGCTGTTAGAATATCACAAATCCAATCCATTGAATAAAAAAATTTAATCACTCTAAACAAGCGCGCTGCAAAATACTGTTCAGATATTACGAAGCAACAAGTCAAATGATGCCCCCTAAGTCGATGCTTGTGGGATAAGTAAAGGCAGACTATCCATATGGGGCAAATTTTGTATGCAAACTAAGTCAATTATGAATCAACTCATCAAAAGAACAAAACTGCCAAACATTTCTGACAGGTATCTAGCGCTTGGTCAAGAAGATTGAAGAATGCTATCCAGGTAACACAATACTGAAGCGCATAAAGAACCTGAACAACAAGTCCGACGCTGTTGAATGCATCCCTAAATGACCCATGCAAAAAAATTACCTTCGATTCATCGAAGCCCGGACCACTGCAGCAAGATGGCCACGTGTTATCTTCATTTTCAGGCCATAAACCATCTGCAATCAGGTAGAATAGGATCTGAGGGTGCAGGTCCTGAGCTTAGCAGAAACAATAACAGCTAATTAACTTCAAGGAATTTCAAGACATCCAGTAAATGGAGGGGGCCGCCGGAATTGTGGAGGTGGAGGTAGAGGTGGCTTACGAACGGTAAACTTCACGGGCTTGACAACCCTGCATAATAGCAATACACCACAAAATTGTATCAGCAATGATTCTGTCATATGCTTTGCGTTTGAGACAATTGAGATATCGAGCAAGCGTAAAGAACGTCTTTGTCTAATAATCTAGACAGAGACTTTCTTTACGCTTACGTTCTTTATGCTAACATATTCACTTCCTCTGACTGGGTGAAAACACGTTGAAACTTCCATGAACCACGAAACCTCAGGCAAAGCTGCATAGCAATTTACTTATTGCAGCAACTCGACTTGGTCCTGCAAAAGGTTCCAGGCCACTGCTGGGAGAACACATAGTAATCGAAGTCAGCTCCATATTCGAGATTAGACAATTCCGCCTGTCCGTCAACCTCAGCACGTTCAAGACTGCCTATTTTCTCAAGACCCTCTGAGCCCACATTCCCTGAAACAACGAGGTGATTTATTCTCAGTACACTGCCTTCTCTTCTCCAGTTTCAACTCATAAATAAAAATCGACAGCCGCAAATTAGCTGCTGTGGTATGTAAACTCAAAAGGTTTACAATTCTTTCACTCGATTGAAGTACAGTGCATTTCGCGAAACGTCAGATGAGCACAAAGTATATACTTTTCAAATCATTCTCTCTGAATCTTCTATGGATCGACACAGATAGACGAACATACAAATCAGATGCATATTCTCGAACGAACAGGACATCGAAGGGGAGATTGACGCACGAGTCACGGACATCGGCTTATGTCCTTGCCACATAAGTGAAAAGATTGAATCCAGCTACTAAAACAACAGTACAAGCACCTCACATTTTACCGCAAGGCAGAGAGTGCCAATTTTCTAACCGTAAATAAAGAAATCAGAAAGAAAATGTAAGCGTGGTGGAAATCTACAAAGTTTAGCTACAATTTCAACTCGTGACAATTCATCGTACCTCTGACACATTGGACGCTCACAAGCGTCAGGAGTACAATCCAGCAAACTCTTTGTCCTCGCCCCATAGCTCTTCTTGCCCTCGTGCTCCAAAGCGTCGAGTGTACCCCCACGACCAGAAACAAGAACAGAGATACTCCTTGGAGCTCAAAACCTCTTAGAGGCGAATATGGACGAGTGAAACGCGTGCAGCAAAGGCGACAAGAAATCAGCTTTGTAGTCAGGGATTCCGAGGGACGTCGTCAGAACTTTTCATTGGCCACCCTTCCTTCGTGGAGGCGGCATCATTCCTCGATCGGTGGCTACCTTCGCGCAGACGACACCCATCTCCATCTCTGTCCGCCCTCTGCTCCGCCTCACCCCCGCCCCCCACTCTCTGCTGCTCCTGACGCACACCAAAAGGCCTCAAGGCTGCTCGAGCACCGCCCGCCCCCCCTCCCTCTCTCTCTCTCTCTCTCTCTCTCTCTCTCTCATTCACGCCTCCACCGTGCCGGGAACTCCCGTCCGTTGCTTCTGGCACACGAATGTGTGAGGCTTTTACTCCCTCCACGTCTCGATCGTAATTAGTCCAACGGGTATATCCCAAGGATTTTGGAAATTCTCCTGGACAAAAAACACTTCCTGGATCGTAGGAGCCAGTCGGGTCCTTCCGAAAACCCACGGTACTCGCATTTAACTGATCTGACACTTGTCGTCGCTGGGGCAACGTGCAGCGACCGCGGTAGATGCCTTCGGGTTGCGGTATCATTCTCTTGAACTAGGTCACTGTCCTGCTCTGCGACGTCATCCGATGACCGGACGCTTTATCCGATGATCGTCCTTCACGTCTCCTCGATCAAAGGCGCCTTATAACAAGTCTTGTACTTGCCGTTAGGTTTTATATTCCGTGCTTCTTGCCTTTTGCCCTCGCCCTTCCGAATTTGATATGTACTGCATGTACCCTCTAGCAATATTGACTTGCACTTTTTGACCGACGATTACGTGATCTAATTAATTTATTTCGACAGCCAATAGATAGAGTTCGAGTAATTATCGCGAATTATCTCGCACCAGATAGAGCTCCGGGATGTCCCGCATTCCGAAATGTAGTATCAACCGGCAGACACTCCTTACTCCAGACTGGTCAGAGTCTTCTCCAGATTTAGTTCTGCTGTTGAGAAGTGAACCATTTGTGGACCAATATCCTACAGCTTTGGCGTGGTCTCAAGGTAGAAGTACAGGAAGGCAGCCGGCTACTAAATTTCTCCAAGCAATGGCATGGGACCGGTATTTATGTTAGGCAGAGAAGCCCTGTGTTCCGAGGCGTCATCTGCCCTAACGGAGATCAAGGACTATAGAGTCTATAGTATAGAACCAATCCAGGGAGCACCACTTCCTGACCCCGGACTGTGCACCTCCCGTGGTAAACTCTGACGCTGCTATGGTTGGTGGGAGGTTGCACACTTTACGGAACCGGAGCTGGAAGGTAAGCACAAAGTTGCAAGAACTGCTTCAAATCCGGACTTTAGTACGAGATTTAAATATAGGAAAGAGAACGCGCAATAATAATCTTGTGCGTGGATCAGACCAAACCGGTAGCATTCATAATACATACTATCATTGGATGATAGTATGTATTGTCTTCATCATTGGATGAAGACAATTTCTAAAACTAACATACTTTAGCTATTTGTATGAAATAGTTTCGTATTACATATCACTGGTTAAGCTTGCAGGAGATAATCACATGTTCTTGAAATATATTGTAAAAATACCTAAACTTAGTGTGTCACACTGCGTTCACTCTCTCACTTAAGTTTTGAATCCTTTACTTGTAATTTCATTCAATGAGAAATATAGTTCAATACAGAAGTTAATTTTACAGTCATATCGATGATTTATTAACAGAATTCTATTAAACAAAGGCACAAGAACCTCGAAATGGGCTTGTTCAAATCCAATTGTACATACACTTTTTGCAAGTGTGATAATTTGAGTGTGCGGAGTTGATGCAATCAATATTTTAGAAAAAAAAATAATGGGGGCTACCAACATGCAAAACTTGAAGAAACTTGAGTTTTCTATTGAAGTTTGGTCTGCAATCACTCAACTATTGAGTCCAGTGATATTATATTTTCATATTGTATGCAATGATTGTTGTGTACAACCTTGATAGAATTTATGGCGTATACAAATATTGATGAAGAGAGTTCAAACATATCAGTGAAATTTAAAATCTCACAAAATATATATATCGTAAATTTATTGAGGTCAATTTTGGTTAAAAAGTAATCTCATGTTCTAGTTATTGACGGTTAGGTTGGTTGTCGGTATTGGGTATATATACCCAATGTATGTGTATTATCAGACAGAATATATCAATGAAATTTAGAATTTCACAAAATATAAATCTTGTATATTTGTTGAGGTTAATTTTGGTCAAAGAGTAACCTCAAGTTCTAGCTATTTACAATTAGGTTGGTCGTTGGTGTTGGGTATATATATCCGTGGTATGTGTATTATCAGATAGAACATTCAATACAATTTTATGTACTATTCCCATGGACGTAGCTTTTGAGTATAAACGACGTTATACGTTAATATCTCTCGTGTTGGTGACTTATCTTGGTGTCCACTATAAACTATCACTTTATCATGCGTGTTTTACACAAGATTAAGTTCAATTTTATCATACTCATTAGTCTTGGTACTACTAGTATTCACAATGGCAAGTTTGATGTATGTGATGATAATGTGACTTCATAATGAGTTCATTTGCAAGTTGAATTTTTCTAGTTTTAAAAAAATTGACTTTTAGATTTTTTTAATTTCAACAAGAAATTTATAAGAAATTTGAACATTCTGTGAGTATATAAGACCATTGCACTCTTGAAGTGAAAAACGTGATTATAATTGTGAACAAAATTTAGTATATTGATCAATTAAGATTCAAATGTTTGATGTATACCACTTTATATTGATTCAAGACAAAATTACATCATATATGATAAAGAGTTTGATATTTCTTAGAATGTAAGACATAAAACGTCTTGAATGAAGCTTGTGGTACCTAGTTTTTTCGTTTTTCTTTAAAAATCAACAAAACTAAAAGATATTTCTTTAGAAAGTAGTTGTTAGAGTTAGAATGAGCATGTCCTGAGGAGAAATGATAGAATTAGTGAGAATTTGTCTACGTCCAAAGATCTTCGGATCTTAGTGTTTTCGGCGCAGCCTTTTATGAATGTAGGAAGAGCTACGTCTTCGGCGAAGACATTGGAATCAATTTCAAATCATGCAACGGGTCGGACGATGTTCGCACGCGTTGGGAGTTCTATTGGGCTCGGGAGAAGGCAATGTTAGGGCTTCGAAGGTAAAGGCAGTACGAGGAGACTTCGCGCCGATATTGCGATATCGAGCAAGAACGAGCGGGAAAGAGAGGAAGTGAAATCGAGCCAACCCGCAATTAGCGAAACGCAAATTGAAGACATGGCGTCCAAGAAGAGTGAGAAGGTGATGAAATTGGTTCCCTTGAAGGTGCCTTACGAGGAATTGAGACCCTTCAGACGCGAGTTGAGTGAATTGCGGCTTGAATTTCTTTTGTGGAATTGGAATTGCATCTCGGCGAGTATCTGCAAGGAGGTAATGTACAAGAGCACGATCGAAGGCGAGGAGCTCAGCAGTAATCCCATGTTGTGGACTATCAAACATTGGACGACGGTATTGGGATCCTGTGCGGACAGCGAAGGAGATGTGTTATTTGAGAAGAATAGCATAGAATTTATGTGCGGCGAGGAATTCTCTTACGGGCCTCTCTTCGAATCTGGAAGACAGGGAACGAATGGATGGAAGACTGTCGATTACAAGATCCGAAGAGAAGGGCGATCGCGTTGAAGATCATGCACATCTTACGGCCGGCGCGCACAACTTATGTGACGGCCTGGCAAGTATGGTTCTTTGAATGCATTCTAAAGGATCAACGAGTACATTGGGCAAGGATCTTTCACGATCTTGTCTGGATGAATGCAGGCTCCCGATGGACGGGACCGTTGACCAATCACATCACTCACTTCCTGGTGAATTTCTATCGAGGTATGGGATTGCTTACGAGGGAATAGGAGAAGCGATTTCCGAGAGAGCGGGAAATCCTGACAGCTGAGTCCAGTGAAGGGATCGAAGACGAGAACCGGCCCCCCTCAATCCCAACACACACAACAACTCGAGGATCAGTTCTGGTGGACGTGGTTCAGAGACGGGAGAAGCCAGAGAGACGATTGGCAAAGAGAAGGAAGGTCGGGAGTGATGACGAGGAGGAATTGGCCCACGAAGTAAGAAGGATGGATATGGATGTAAGTGGAGCGAGGTAGCACAGAGCTCGCGCAAGATCAAAGAAGAGGGCGAAACGGAGGATGTTGACAATTGAGGTGTCGGACAGCAGCGTGGAGAAGACGGTGGCAACAATTGTAAACACATCCGAAGTCGCAGCTAGCAAGGTAATGCAGCCTGTGGAGATAAGAGTACCTTTGAAGGTGTCAATCGAAGTTCCAGCAGACATACCGGCAAAACCTTTGAAGGAGGGAACAGAATTGATAACTCCGATTTCTCTGTCTTAGGAGCAGACGCGGTCTGCGTAGGGAGAATGGACACCACAGATGAAGATGAACGAGGACCTGGAGAAGGAATTCACTTTGAGCGAGGAGATTCTAGAATAGGTTGTCGCACAGATCAGAGGGACGGTGGTAGAAGCCGTGGGCATTACACTGCCGACATCTTAGGTGGAAGAGGTGAGACCCGAAGAAGGGAAGAAGACTGCGGGCGAAGATGTGAAGACATTAGAAATTACATTTCCTGAATTCTTGCCCGATAGTGTAGTCCCATTGTTGAAGTACTTGGACGGGAAGAGAGTGAAGTATGCCGTAACGGAGTAGCCATGATTATATGTACCAATGATTAGGAATATGACGAAGCTTAAGAGAGCAGTTGCAGTACAGAGAGAGTGGAATTCCGCAACTGCATTGGTACGGGAGCGAGAAGCCCAGCTTCGGGAGAAGGAAATTGAGTGCGAAGTACTACAGTTGAATCTAGAGAAGGAATTCGGGCGCTGTGTAGAGTTGGAGGAGACCCCTAGAGGACTTCGTATCTCCAATGAGAATGCTCAGAAGGTAACTGTGGACTTGATGGCGAGATTGGAGAAATTCAGAGAAGCTTACGAGGCGGCAATCAAAAGATCAAAGCGGTTGATCACTACTGCAAAGAAGCGAGAGAAGAAACATGTCGAGGAACTTGCTACATTGAAAGCCCGAAGAGCTGAAGAAGCTCGTATCGCCGAAGAACTTCGGGGCTAAATCGCAGAGGCGAAGACGGCGGAGGAAGATCTTCGTAGCAAATTTTTGGAGATTGAGGCGAAGTATAAAAT